TTTATATACGAACTACAGTCTTAATTTCTTACTGTTTACTCCGAGTCTAGCCCTTAACAAGTGCTTACTTATCTTGGGCTTGATGATTTGTTGGTGTTCTAATGTTACCTATGAGTATATCGTCGTAGTCTGCTCCTTGTGATGCCTACTCATCTTCTATTGGCACTTTGGTTGGATTTGTTACCATAAATTGAAGGATTGCAAAAAGTGTTTTAACCAGTTCTCTCATAACTTCTCCAACTGATAGTTTCCTGGCCTCCACTAAGTCCTTCCATCCTCCCCCGGGATGAGTGTTGACTGCTAACTGACAATTATCAGTGGATCTATTTTGAATGAATTTCTTAATTAATTTTTTTTCTTATTCAGTGTCATTTGGTGCTGTATTATATTGTGGTCTGACACTTTCATGTGTGCCATTTGTGAACATTAAAAGGGACACCAACACACTAAACCATCTGAACCAACCATACAGATCTTTTTGTAGAAAAAGTATTTTACTTTCTACGAAGCAGCTTCCAGTTGTGTTTGAATTGAGGGTAATGTGTTCAAGTGACTGTGTCATTCTGAAACTATTTTGTTATGTTTACAATTTCTTGCCTTGAAATAAAAACTAACATTTTGAAAAGATATGTTTTTCTTTCAATGATTACTATTTCTAAGCCGAACTGTTATTTTTGCTTATTGAGTGTTTGAAAATTTGTAGAATATTACTGTTCATAATGTTTTGAATTTAGGATCAGAGGATGGAGGGATATTATGATTATTATTATTGTTATTTATTTATGCTTATTAGAGTTAAAGCCAGTGAGACTGTAAAATGTGGTACAACCTTATAATAAGGTTGTACCACATTTTACTTATAATAAGCGGATAAAAGTTGATGGATACTGTAGATCTCACTTATCTTGCTCAATGCCACTCTCTACAATTGCAATTATTGCTTATTGAAGAACACATGGCTAAATAACATTAATAGGTAGTTGTGGTGAGATAAAATGAGAAGTGTTGTCAGCTTTCTACAAGTAGGAGTCTAGAAAACTGAGAAAATAGACCAAGGAAAGGCTGTTCAAAAGCAAGGTCATCTCTGTTCTGCTGCATAGAGCAGAAACCAGGAGATATATATACAGTCGAACGGCATAACCCCCCCACCTTTTATACAGCGCCAGCCCCGCTTACTACAAGATTTTGCCAATGTACAAAAAGGAGCACCAATATAAACATAGTTGTTTGGTTCTTGATTAACTAATATAAAATTTGACGCGCTGTGCCACCAGCCAACTGACCGCCAGAGGTACACACTGCAAACGATGTACAACTCACTCTTTGGCTACTTGATAAGCTTTCTCCCGTGACAAAAACGTAGAGATAGAGAGAGAGAAGGCTCTTGCCTCTGAGTGTTTTTTGATGTTGGGCAGTTGGGGTTATACAACAGATGAACCCTGTTGAACCTGCAGTCATGCTGTTCCGTCAACTTCATGCTCATCCCAAGGGTGACGGTATAGCAAGGTTTGACTGTAATTATTTACAAAGGATGCCGACAGTAAGTTTCACATTAATATTTTTCATCAGTATTTACTAGGAGAAGATCTCTGACTTGAGCTGGTTTGACCTTTTTCTCCACAGGAAATGTTACGTATGTTTTATAGGGGGAGGGGGGGGGGGGGCAAAGACAAAAGAAAAGGGAAATAATTGGCCCAGCACAAATGACGATGGAACAGACGCACGTTAAGAAAGTGACTTGTGTAGCTAGAAAGGAGATTGTGGTGGAATCCCAGGGGTCGGAGGAAGGCCACAAACAACAAAACCAAGGTGGAGTCAGATGCGGGGGGGAAAAAGAAAAACCCTGCAAAAAAAAAAAAATAATAAACAAGGAAAAGCTGGGTGCTTCAGAGCAGACATAATTTGTGGAGAGGAATTTTTGAAACATTGTCTCCAGAGGAAACTTATTCTTTAAAAAGCAAAAGAGATATACATGTATTCCCAAATGACCTGAAACAGAAATCAACTAGTCACTGTCATTGTAATGTAACTTCATTGTTTTGAAGTGGAAGCTACCCTTGTGAAAACATTGTATGAAATTCAAAGTTCATTCAGGTATGTACAATACAAGACTTATTTGGTCTTATGAGGTATTGTTCACTTTCATCTAACTGCGGTTAAAACAAGGCAAAAGCAAAATGAAATCACTCTGTTTAATTTTCTCCTGTCTCTGCATACAGGCTAAAAGTTTGATGACTAACAGAATCAAAATCCCATTCATAAAGGTGATTGTAAACTAAAGTTCCGACTCATTTTAAAAAAAGATGTAGCCTAACATGGGGCAAAAAAAAAAAATGGTTGGAGATTTACAGCATGCACCTAAACATTAAAAAGTAGACTTATTTTCTTGCTTCTAGATACTGTTGTAACAGAAAGTGAACGTAAAGGATTATTGTTGAATGTAAAGAAAACAGAATGCATGGTAATATCCAAAAAAGCAGCAAATCCTAGTTGTAATCTCATTAGCAAAGGTGAAAAGATCAAACAAGTCCTACAGTTTAAATATCTAGGATATATGTATATGATAACATCTGATGCCAAATGTTCCTCAGAAATATAAAGGAGAACTACAATGGCAAAGGCTAGTTTCAATAAAATGAGCCCAATCCTGAAAAATAGAAACATCTCAATGAACACCAAAATGAAAGTCCTGAAATGCTATGTTTGGTCAACCCTTCTATATATGGCTGTGAATGCTGGACAATCACTAAAGACAGTGAAAATAAAATAGAAGCAACAGAAATGTGGTTTCTTAGGAGACTGCTAAGAGTATCGTGGAAAGAAAGGAAATCAAATGAGGTAGTGCTTGATGAAGCCCACATGGGACGCTCAATATTAAAAACAACCAGGAAACAACAAATGCAGTTTTTGGGACTCCTGAATAGACATAAGGGTCTTGAACATCTAGCTCTCACTGGCAAAATTGAGGACAAGCGAGGCAGGGGAAGGGCCAGAACAACCTACTTAGGGAACCTGAACAAATGGGTACCAGGGAAAGATCAGGGAAACGTAGCTTTTTTGAGAGCATCTGAGCAAAGAAATGAATGGAGAACCATGATCGCCGATGTCTGTCGCAGATCTGGCATTGGATGATGATGATGATTTTTCTCAACACCACACTTCAATGTACGCTTAAGAAACGCAATTCAAGAGACGGTGTGAGAAATTTTCTAGATTTACATGGATACATCTAGAGAGTCAGGGTATGAAATTTACAAACTTACTTTAAAATGTTGGGGCAGGGTGGTGTTGCTGTCTCAAAATTAGCAGTTTTGAAAGCAAGGTTACTCTTAAGTCATTTATTTTAATGATACTTGGTAGGCCCCGTGCATCCAAAGAACGGTTTTTAATTTAAATGGCCCAAAGAGAAAACCTTTTTTACTACTGGATCAAGATGTTTTGAAAAAATATTTTTTATTTAGTCGCTGACCTGCAGAAGTGCCGAGCAAAGTTTCCTAGAATTATTTTTTTTATGCGGACGGACGAAAGTGAACAAGGTATAGACGATCACGACGGGCTGCTTGTGAATATTTCATACTGCGTAAATTACAATATAGCTACTAACGTAAAGTGTGGGTGTGTTGTTAATAGAGGTGTGCGAGTCCAGCATATTAAGATTCGAGTCCAGACTCGAGTATATGCTCTGGACTCGAGTAATTACTCGAGTAATTACTCGAGTCCCACGGCTCTTAAGACTCGAGTTATTACTCGAGTAATAGTATCCCGAAAGGGAATTTTAGTGGGTTTCAAAAAAGGTTTTGTTGAATATCGGACAGAAAATAGAGTGCCTTCCTAGGAGGTAGCTTGAGTAGGCTTATGGCAATTCTAGACATATGCTGTTTATACCGTATTTATTTTATTTTATCTTAGGAAGTGGCTATTCTCACCCCAGGTGAGAATAAAAATGTGATCGACCTCTCACCCCGGGTGAGACTAGCCAGTGTTGGCTATTCTCACCCGCTGTGAAACAAAACCGGGTGTTCCTAATTTCTAAATACTTCCTATCGGTGAGGATGATTAAATAGACAAACCCCTTTTTAAAAAAATGATATTATAACACAAAAGTAAAACTAATTTGGTGGTCTACAATGATGCTACGGCTGTTTCACTTTTAGAATAGAGCCGAACTACCCTAATCGGCATTTTGTTTTGCCCAGAAGTTCTCGCTATATCTAGGCTACTCCTCTCTCTCTCTCTCTCTCTCTCTCTCTCTCTCTCTCTCTCTCTCTCTCTCTTTCTCTCTCTCTCTCTTTCAATGCCCGCAGATAAAATTGCATGTTTTTAACACAAGAGGACTGGAACGTTTGTTTACACGACAGAATTCAATTTTTTTTAAAGTGTAGATCTAGAATTCTGTGGTTTACACTGGGTATCACATCACGGTAAACGCACACATGAAGAGAATAGCCAAAAGGCTCGCTCTCTCACCCCGGGTGAGTGAGAAGCTTACAACTGTATAACAACTAAGCTAGAATAGAGGTAGTCTTCATCTTATCTTATCTTATTTTTTATTTTTTAAAAATAATTCTTTGTTACAACAGTAAGAATAAAATGTACACAATCTGTAAACCTCAGACAATGCACTTCATAAAAGAAAGAAGTTTGATTGGTCATCGTAGGTTTCTAACAGTGGTTTCCTTTTTGCTTTTTTCTGGGGGGGGGGGGTTCGGTTTTTTCCTTTGGGGAAGGGGTATTTTTGTTGTTTTTTTGTTGTTTTTTTGTTCCTTTTCCTTCAGTTTTAAAAAAATTGCTTATCAGAATTTTTCTTTTATCAATTATTAACTTTTTTAAAAACCAAATTTTTCTCCTTTTTCTGTTTTTCCCCTACAGACTCGAGTCTGGACTCGAGTCCTTACTCGAGTCCTTACTCGAGTAATTTACTTGTGACTCGAGTCTGGACTCGCCCAATGTATTACTCGAGTACTCGAGCCTGGACTCGTTACTCGCACACCTCTAGTTGTTAAACATGATATAAGATCTTAAGTCTACTAAACATTATAACGCGAATTTTTTTACTTTTGGCTGAGTAAGCTGAATTCTCGAAGACTTGCTTCAGGGACCTTGTCAAGTAAGTTCATAGACATTGTCACGTTGAAAAGAAAGTTTGCCTCCTCATCAATTTTCCTTACTACGATTTCAGGATAAAGAAGATCTAGACTCTAGATCTAGAGATATTAATTTAGGAGGTAAATTTTTACTTTCACTCCCGCACACAGATGCACTGTTTCAGGGGTCAAACTGCTGTACTGTTTGCTGCAGATCACACATAAAGCCACTAAAACTGTCGCAAATCAATTATTTTCAAGACAATTTCAAATCTGACTGTAAAATATAAAATTATGGGTAAAAACAGGGGGGCATGCCCCCCTGTAACCCCCCAGATTTTCTTTTACCCCAGTGGGGCAGGCCCCCCTGGAACCCCCCGATTGGTCCAAAGCATGTCTATCTCGGTTAAAAACAATCAAATATTTCAAAAACTATTAAATTGCGACGGAAATGAAGTTGATATTCGTGTTCAGCGCATCAATATTTAGTAGAAAATGGACAACTGGTAGCTGAGTGTGAGACGGGAGGGAAAGTAAAAAAATATCGATATTTAGATTTAGAAATCTAGTTATATCTATCTAGATCTAGAGATCTAGAATCTAGGTCTTCTTTGTTGGCTTTGCCTTCTAGAGTCTAGATCTAGATCTAGTACTTTTCACTTGTGCCTGGAGGGGGGGGGGGGGGGGGACTGTAAATCAGTAAATATACGGAAGGATGTCCGTAAGGAGTGACCACCCCAACGAACACAATAAAGAAGAGACCCAACCCTGACCCTACCCCTACCCCTACCCCTTACCCAAGCCCAGACTAACCCAAACCCTGATCCTACCGCCCTGACTCGAGCCCTAACCCTAACCATGTATTTGACTAGCCTATATAGGCCTACTCCATGATCTATTTCATAGTGGTTGCTCGTTACGGAATTCCTTCCGTAAATACAAAAGACAATGGAAGAGGCTAGCCGTACTTATGACAGCAGAGTAATGGTACCGGGTCGGGCTGCAAGTATTTTTTTAGTTTTCGGGCACTGGAGCACAAAAATATCGTTTAAAACTTTGCTTTTAAATCTAGCCCCAAAAGAGTGGCACACAAACCTAAAGCAACCTCTCTTACTTTTGTTGAAACAACAGTTACGTCGATATTTAGCTAAAAATAGTCCTTAACCCTCATCCTGCGGGAGCCGGGTTTATGTCGCCCGATAAGCCTATTTCGGCACCTCGCCTACGCTCTGGTCCCGAATCAGTGTAGCCCCTGGCTCAGCGCACGCGCAGCGGGCATCCACTTACGTGTCGTTCGGGTCCGGAGTCGGATCCCCATTCACGCAGGTCAAGTGTGTGTGCGTCAGTCTGCTTGAGTTTGTGTGCGTTTGTGGCCTTCTGCTAGAACCGCCTGCGTTGGTTCGTAATCGAGGCATACGTCTCATTCAAAACATGCCAAGATGGTAGCTCTAGATGTTCGTCCAATGAAATTATAGAAGAAATTGACCCACTTAGACATGAGGAGCTCGAAAGGATAGTCAGGAAACAAGACTTCCATTTCTCTATACAAAATATTTCAAATAAGCTTGATTTTGTATGAGATGATACTACCTGATAAAAAAATAAGCTTCTTTGATAGTTTTGAATACCATTGTGTAGGTACAAAGAACAATTTGAGTGTAAAACATTCGGAAATTGACCTAAATTATCCCCTTTCGAACCTCAGGTCATTCATAACAACAAGAGCGTCCAGAAAGGTTATAATTCGAATGGGTGTAACTACTCGCAATGTCTTATCAGCTTGTGAGAGGGGGTTATTCATGTGTTTGTAACACTTTATAAATAGAAAGCTATGAAAGATAGAGCGTTATTTTCATCATCGGTTAACACACTCCCGCGGTATTCATGGCGAAAACACACGTTTCCCGGCGCGCGCGCTGTACACCAACAGTACACACTGAGTGACCCCGGCGGCCTGCCCGGCACGTCCGATGTAATCGGTGGCTGATAAGATACGCATCTGGGCACAGACGCAGGATAAGAGTTAAGACAGCTTTGTCTTCATCAACTGAGCAAAACATAGTCAAGCTCTTCCCTCGGAAGAGTTAACATTGGTTGTGGATGAAGGAGCCTGTGGCCTAGATTCTACGTTTCGTTTTGGTAAACTCTGAAAGCTGGGGAGTTATTACATATGAGGCCCTATCAAGGATGAAAGAGAATTTGCAGTTCAGTCTCGCCGTTTTTGCCCAAAGGGGGGGTGCCCGGATTGTAACGTAAAAATCCGTAGTTTCTCATCCTTCGGGCACACATAAGATAATATGGTGCCAATGGTTATGTAATAAAGAATCAAGAATTTGTGCATAATTTAAATAATAGTAGAGTCAGATACAGCATATTAGCTCAGTCAGACACCAGTGTAGTAGAGTCAGATACCAGTGTGTAATACAGTCGGATATCAGTGTAGCAGAGTCAGCTACCAGTGTAGTTGAGTGAGCCAGATGCCAGTGTAGTAGAGTCAGATACCACGTAGTAGAGTGGGTCAGATACATACACATTAAAATAGCTATAAATGGTGAAAACCACTGTAGCAAGGTTCACTTCACCAGTCAAATGACCCCCCCAAAAAACTAGAGACACAGACACAGCTTTATATCCACCCCAGACCCTATGTTCCCACAAGCCCTGAATCTCAAGACTGAGAACTGCTCATGGAGTGTTTACAATGAAAGGGAAGCAACTGATAATATAATGGACAAGCAACTGTGGTGGATTATGGATTATGTCCCATATCATTACAACCACTTTAGACAAACTATCATTGTGTCCAAGTAACAAGCATTAAAAATCATGTTATTAACCCTTAAGATTCTGGTCCCTGATAAATGTTTGCCCCATAAGCCCAATCCCGCACGGCGCTCAACAGCTGGTCCCTGACCAGTCGTCGTCCCGCGCGGGCAACGCATTCGTTTAGTGGGGGGTCTGCATCTGTGTGCTAAAATGTGTGTGCGTCAGTCTGCTTGTGCCTGTGTATCCATCTGGAACTTACTGCATTGTCTTGCAACGCGAGGCATTGGTAGAGATAACAGAGCGTGGGTTGAGACATTCATCCAATGAAATATGAGCATTTTGACCCAGTTAGACACTTGAGGGACTCGAAAGGATATTCAGGAAATAGGACTTTCATCTTTCAATGCAAACACCTTTCCTCACTACTCAAACGATCTAATTCTTACACCAAACGTTGTTTCCTGATGTAAATAATCATATTTGATGGTTTTTGAACCATTGTCCTACCAGAGGGAGAAATTTGAGAGCAACTGAATGAAAAAAATATTAGGAAATTATCCCATTTTTATCCTCTTTTGAACGATAGCTGATAAGCAGCTGTTCGCAAGTTCATTCATAATAGGTGTGAAATCTGGAAAACTCTGGAAAAGTTATTCGATTTGGTGTAACTTCCAATTTCAGCGTCTCTGATCAACCGACGAGGAGATAATGGGATTATTCGTGTGATCGTAACACTTTTTCATTGATCGTATCAGTTTGCTATAAAAGATGAGGTGTTTCCCTGACCTGCCGCGGCACGCTCGCGTGACAGGTGTCTGACCCCGGCGCCCCGCGGCACAAGCTCGCGGGCGACGTAAGTGGGTCATCAATCGATAAGAGCCCTCTTCCGGTTAACCCAGCAGGACTAGAGTTAAGCTTGCAAAGAAACAAATGTGAGAATAATTGAAAATGACCGAATGTCAAAATACTGCCCGAATCCATGAGAAAACAAAAAAATGTGACTGAACACGTAAATAAATCAGGCGTCACTTTTGCACCCAGTAAGGGCCTCAAATATGCGAACAAGCTGAAACAGAACATTCCTGGGGTCATCCAATCACAGGGCTTCCTGTAGCTGGTTTCGGTTTGTCTCTAGGGCAAGGCAGATAGGAGATATAAAGCTTTAAAGTCGACGTGCCTGTTTTCGTCTTAATTTTGATCGAACAGGTAGTACTACTCTGGACAGCTAGGTTAGTTGTACTTACTTAAGGATGGCTAGCCTTACACACCTTATAAATTATACTTACTGATGGTTAGATGGCTAGGCTAGTCGTACTTCAGACGGCTAGACTGGCAGGCTAGTCATACAACTTAATCATGATGGCTAGACTGACAAAAAGAAAAAAAGTACTGAATTGTATTTAATGACAGCGAGCGGCTAGGCTAGTCGTACTTAATAATGATGGCTGGACTGATGGACAGCAAAAAGTACTGAATTGTAAATAAATCTTTATTTTGCAATACCTAAAGTGTTTGTATTTGAGACGAAACCAAACTGTGCCTTCCTGACAGTGCTTGTATTTTAAACCTGAATAATTACTTATGGGACCTGTGTCCTCAACAGGTTTCGGTCAATAGGTCCAAATTTGGCTAGACTGGCAGGCTAGCCGTACTCAGCATGTTTCATTCAAGAGGGCCTGACTTAAGTACAGCTAGACTGGAAGGCTAGACTTAACCACTGCGAAAGACAATCACCTGTACAAATGGCCGCTTCCCATATTAAATTTCTATTCTCCCTTGGAATTTTTACATCATAGATCTAATGCCACTGTGTTAGTTGGCCTCTTTTCTCCTTGACAATTGGTCGGGTGACTGTCTTTGACAATTTTGACTGTATTCCCCTATCATAACAACAGGGGGATCCAGCTAACCTCCACCTCTTTGATGCCACTTTGACTCTCATACTGGTACAATAATGGGTTCAAGTTCATCTTGTCTTTGTATTAATATTAGGGGCCTATCTTCCGTGTCTTCTGCTCAGCCGTTTCTTCAGGCTGTTGTGGGTGGACTGTAGAGGATCCGGTAAGGTCTCTGGCAAAGAACAGAACACAGCCCAGTAAGAGCCCTCCTTAAAAAAATATGATCTCTTGAATCTGTGTATAGTACCAGCTAGTATGGCATATCTAAGAGGTCATTCAAAAACAAAACCAACAGGAGATTATGATCACGTTGAATATTGAAATCAAATACAAAGAATAAAATGCTTTATCATTTTTTTTCTTCTGAAACTGAAGCATTCCTTATTTATTGATAATGATAAAAAAGTAATTCTATTCTTTTGCTCAAACAGGATGCTCAGAAGTGGCCAGGCAGCTCTTTCTCCTGCTCTGAATAGTGTTAGGAGATCTGCTAGACGAAGCGGCAGCTCTATTGTTTCAACTGATGTAAATGGTCACACCAGAACTCCTAATTCCAACAAAAGAAATTCTCTTGCCTCAAAGAGAAAGCTGGCAAATGATCTCCCCTCATCTGAGGCAAAAGGGAAACGGCAAAGCAGAGCTCTTAAAGATGCTCAATCAGGCCCTTCTACACCTAAAAGAACTTCAACCAGACAAAAAAGTGTATCTGATGCACCACCAGCTAGAAAGTCTTTAGCTTCAACTGAGAGAAAAGCAGTGCCAGTGAAGAAATTGTCTGAAAAAGAGCTTGAAAGTAAATATGAGAAACGTTTGGCCGATTTAAGAGCACACCCAAACAATATCTGGGGAACGACTGATGTGTTCAGAACATTGTGTTCTATTTTCGAACATGCTCGGAATGAAGCAAATGCTGTTCGCTGGGCCAAGTATATGCGGGACCAATTTCCCTTCTTCGGAATGACTTTTCCTGAACGGAAGGCTCTATGTACAGATGTAAGTTTATAGATCTATAGATTACGTAGAACAAACACTAATTTTTTTTGGTGCTGTTGACATCATATTAACTCAGTTTCCTTGGATGGACAATGGGAGTGTCCAACATAACTCACCTAGTCCCCAAGTGGAATATCCCAGCATCAGATCAGATTGCAGAGTGCATGAAGCATTACTCTGTGAACGTAATCTGTTTTAGATCTGAGTAGATTTATTTTGACCCGAAAGTTTAGATAAATATGAAACTACTCAGTCTCTCACTTTGACATAGTCTTTGCAATTTTATGAATATTTTTCAAGCAATCTCTGTTACATGTTTATTTCACATGATCAGGACAAAAATTGTGTCAAAATGTGGAAAAAAATTCTAGGGTTAAAGCACCAAGTTTCTGACACATTTGCACACACACATAGAAAGTGTTATGCTGTTGAATGCATTTGAAACTATCATATTGTCGAAGTATTAGTTACTTTAATGATAGAATGAGAATGATATGATACTGCGAATGACTTATTGTTATGTTAGTCTCATGACATGAGAGTAAGTTTTGGGATGAACATTTCAGAGTCCAAGATATTCAGAGGTTATTTTATGTTTGATTGATTGATTGATTGTAAATGTTTTACTCCCCCATCAACACAATTTATTTCATTTAGGAAGCTGGCTGCTTTGACTTTGTTTGTCAGGGCCAACCTAGTCCGAGTCAGATAGATACAGATTCCCAACAGATGAACGGGGATACTCAACACAATAACTTCCTCGTTCAAAAATCTTTACTCATGTCTTCTGCTTGTAATGGCAAAAAGTCTCTCCATTATATGCCACTTATGCTTCATGTTGGTTAAGCTAGAAGAAACTGTGACCTGAAATGTTTTTCAAGTACAATATAATTTTGCTAAAAATAAAATCGACATGCTTTGGGAAGTGAATTTAATGTCGATATATAACAATGTCGATATATAACAATGTCGATAAATGAAAATATAAAGCAAAAGAGGAAAAAACAAGGGGAGGTCAGCAGTAACAGACAACACTACTTTTTAAGATGGTTGCTTCCCTTGATTCTTAAAACTAACAAGAGGGGAAGGGGGGGTGGGGTTGGAGTTATGATACCAAAGACCGAGCAGCCCGTGGTGCACACTCACCAATGCAAACTTTGTTGTAGCTTCCTTGTAAGGCCTGTTTTTCATGGCTTGCTAGGAAAAATGGAAAGGCGAAGCACTGACTCTGACTCACTGACCGTGGCACTTGCCAGCGACAGACTGAGAATGGGATGGGGAAGGGGAGTGAGCGATCAGGAGTGGGGGGGTAGGAAGGTGATGCCCAGCACGGGAGACGCTCACGTGTGTGAGGCACTATACTGTGTTGGAGACTACACTGTGTTGGCCCTACATGACCTACTAAAGCCTGGTGTGTCGATATAGGCTACTTGCCGGGTATGCGAACATAATGAAGAACTAATGCGTTGACAGTTAGCGTGGCTTTTCCCCCCATTTATGTTCGTGGGCTTCGCCAGGTACCCAGGAAGCATGTCGATAAAGCAAAGTGGGCCGCAAAAAGAGTCGATATAGGAGAAATTGTTTAGTGAAGATGTTGAAGGGAAAATTTTTATAATTGGAAAATATGTTGATATGTCAAAATGTTGATAAATTGGATGTCGATATAAGTGGATTTTACTGTATTTATTGTTTTTATTGCATGAAATGTATTTTTGTCTGTGAACGTCTGCATTGGCATGCCTGTGTGAGAGAGGAGGAATGTCTCATTTTTCAGTCTTCTTGTCTTAGGGCTCAAACTGGTTTTTGTTTGTTTTGTTTCAGCTGTGGAGTGATGTTGACAAACTGAGTTCAGCTGACCTGCGCACCTTAGTTTGTCAAACTTGGTATTCACCTGAACGAGAGTTCCAATACTTCACCGTTGATTTGTTTGAGAAGTACATATTGCGCATCTATGCTGATGACGTACAAGCTCATTCAAGCTTACCAGTGCAGACTCTAGATTTTGTGCATCAGTTTGTATCCTGTGGGAAAAGCTGGTGGGATACAGTGGATCCACTGTCCACTACTGGTTTGTTAAGTCTTACTTATATATAAATATTATATTACATATCGTATTATAAAGTTGTTTTTTTGTTTGTTTATAATTGTAAATCAGGTACTGTGAAACTAGATTGTGGGTGGTTGGCGGGTGCTCTGGTGTGGTTTGCTCCTTCTTACCTATCAAACAACTATCGTCTTTATCTCTCCTCCTTCCTTTTTATGTTTGTTACTCTCTTGTAACTCTTCTAATCTTGGGGACTTATACGACGTTATTGTGTGGCAAGTGCCGTAAAACTTTCACTAAAACCAAGAAGTAGATTGAGAGGATATCTTTTATCATCAGTTTTCTTTGCTCTGAATGCATGTACAGTAGTCTCCGCCTAAACCCATGCCATACAAAAGCATGCTCTGCTCAAACGAACGCTTTCATCATCTGATGGGGTTTTATTTACTATATAATTTAGACGTACAAACGCAGTCACTCCCTCTAAACACATGCTCCGATCCGCGAAACACGCCGACAGGTAAAGCTTGACAAGGGGAAATTTTCACTACAACCTGCGCAGCCTGCATAAGACAAGCCTAGAAATAAATTGGTGAGCATGCTCCTCACGCCGAACAGAGTGATGGATGGACAGACAGCGTTTTCACATTCAACTTTCCACTGACACATAGGTCTAGGACTGGTCGGTGAGTGAAAAGTTGGGGGAGGGGGGGGGGGGGATTGGGGGGGACTGAATTAAACGTTTTTTGATTTTTCACTGGAAATTTATCTTTGAGAGAAGGTTTCTGACTGGTGTTTGATTGACTGTGAATAATGTTTAGTTAGATCTAGGCCTGATGCGCGACACACGTAAATGCCGTTAAAAAACTAGACAGGCCTCTATAGGATTAAAGATTTGCCAAGTAAGCCTAATCAGCTGTGCTAAAAACTAATAATGTACTAGTTCAACGAATCACAAGAGAAATGTTTCTCTAAATGAGAGTGACTCTGCATGAATACTACGGTCGGGGATGGTCGCTTGGAAAGCCACGTGGCTGGTCCGTCGCCAACAGTTTCCTCTTAGGTTATCTGTTCCCGACGTTTATAGTGCATATTCATTACATTGAGTCTGTCTCCCCCCCCCCTCCCCCTTCAACGCCTTTGTATTCTTAACCCCAGTCACGGAATCCTTCACAAAACAGTCATGTGTCGTCACATTATCTGCCAAGATGACCCCCTCCCTCCAAGTCCAAGGGAGATCACTAGAGTAATATAAGGAATTGAGATGACTGCGTCCCTTCCTCCCTTTTCAAGGGTTTATGTAAACGCACGCTCTGTATAAACACACGCTAAGGAGCCCTCCCGAGCACCGTGCGTTTAGGCGGAGGCTACTGTATACAAGTTTGGGTATTCTCTCTTATCTGTCTACCTCAATCTTTCTCCAGCCAAAAGATAATCTTTCTGCTTCCATCTCTCTCTTACTTTTGTTTTTGTTTGCATGTCTTGCTTTTTCCCTGAACTAAATGACAAAAATCTTGTTGATGTATTGCTTGGAGCAGAGAACGCATGATTTGCCATTTTTGTCTCTGTTAATTTCAATGTTTCCTCTGTGATTTGACCATCTGTTTGTCACCTATCTCTTCTTTTTCTTCGTCTGTATTTTTTACATTACTGGTACAATTATAATAGCCACAAATTATGTGAATGAGCAGTACCTTCTGAGCTGTTTCACTCTCTCATTTGAAAATTGCATTTCTTTTTTTACTAATCTCCTTAAAAATATATAGCGTTATTTTTACCTTGTTTCTCTGAAGTGGAGCTGTTGGTTTTAGACTTGACAAATATTATGCATATTATAATTTTATGTATGAAATGAGTGTGATCTAAATTTTTCTCATCCTACCTGTAATATTCTGTCTGTATCAGCCTTTTTATTGTCAAGTTCTTTCCTGTGGAAATAATGGTAACAATTTTTATTTAAAGATGGTAACTACAATGGTATTCTTCTGAAATATGCCTAAATGGTTCTCAAGGCAGAGAAATTTGTCATAATTTCTTCAGTATATATATTTTTACAGCATTCTTTCTTTCCTTTTTTTCTGCAGTTGGAAAGCTAGTGCGCAAGTTTCCGGAGGAGCTTCTTCCTGTCATGGATAAGTGGAATGTGTCCTCATGTAGATGGACGGTCAGAGTGTCTTTGATTTACCAACTGCACTATGGCAAAGATACAGATGAAGACAGACTGTTTAGGTAAGGGCTGACATTTTGTTCAAGGCATGTTTAGACTTTTGTCATCGTATGAGTTTGCTATTTTAGGAATCATAGAAAATTTTTATCAAACAACGAGAGTTGAGATGCTTGAAGTTGAAAGCAAAACTCCTAATAATAAATTATAAAGCGCATAGAGCATCTGTCAAGCAGGGACATGTGCTCTCTCAATATCGAAATGATTATTATTATATTTGCCATAATTCTTTGTCTTGTACTCTCTTTGATTTCTTAAATTAAATATTTACTTGTAACTAGTTTGGAGCTTGTGAGTTGCTGAGGCGATGTATTCTTTTGCTTGGTGCAAAACTAGAAGTGTGATGATAAGTTTTGTGCCAGTATTTTGATACACCTAAGATTTTGTTGAAGTGCTTCTCTTAGAAGCAAAGTAAATGAACTTTCCAACTTTTCTCATACTTTCCCACAGGTATTGCTTAAAGGTGGCCCATGAGGAAGAATTTTTCATCCGAAAGGCCATTGGCTGGGCTTTGAGACAACATTTCAGGTTAAGTCCCGTGGCTGTCAGGGAGTTTGTGAAGAAAAACAAGAACAAATTGTCCGCACTCAGCATGAAGGAAGCACTAAAACATGACGCTAAAAAATGACTGTCTTGTTGATGTGAAGAATGCCGATGTGCCATATTCGTGGAAACTTCTGGAATTCCTGAGAGTTGATGATACATTTTCTTTTGTTTCTTATACAAAAGTCATGTTTACTATTTTGAATATTGTGTTGTTATTAATGCCATGAGAATGAGTACTTTAAATTATGGAGAGCCTGTATGAACTTGAGTAGTTACCATGGATGCCAGTGTTTGAACAGCCCGGTTCCTGCAAACTGACTTCCTGAATTCTTACATTCCTGCAAACTTATCACGCCATTTCCGCCTCCTAAAACCATCCCTTTCTAAATAGAAAGTTTAATAGAAACGAACAAAATTAATTTGTTATGTTTCTGAACTAATAAGGGCGGAGAGAAAATGTCAATAGATACTTTTTAAAAAATAATGGAATAAGATAAAAGACAAAAAAACCGGGAAAATAAGCTACTCACCACAAATCTGTTCAAGTGATGTGCAGTATAATGAGAGAGGTGGGATGTTGTATGATATGAATGCTTGACAGGAAGGATGAAATTCACCAACTTCAACAATATAAAATGAATTTACATGCCTAAGTGTCCTATCTCTATAAAGTCTTCACTGCCATTTACAAACTAAGTGTCCTATCACAGTCTTCCATAACACCACTAAAACAGTGGTTACATTTTTTAAAAAGAATTTTGTGATGGACACTGTTTGGCCACCACTGTGCTTTCTCTTTTTTGAAGTACTTGAGAAAGCAGGATGTGAATCTGCTGCTGTAGCTGGTGTAGGTGCAGCTGATGTAAATGGAAAAATTAATAAAGAAGATGTAGCAGCTGGTGGAGATGATGATCCTGTAGTTGGTGCAGATGATGTTACTGTTGATGAAAATGCTGATGTTGGTCCTGTAGATGGTGCAGATGATGTTGTTGATTCTGTAATTGGTGCAGATGATTCTGTAGTTAATGAAGATGCTGATGATGATTTAGATGATGAAGTTGGCTTTTTAGTTGATGACGATTTTGTGGTTGATGTTGACATTGCAGTTGATTTTGCAGCAGATGTAGATGCAGTGGCTTTTGCTTCTGAGGTAGATCCTGGTAGGGTTTTTGCATTTTGGTATTGCTCATATCGCCTCCTATAAGAGGTTGCAACAGACTCCTTCATGTTATCTGTTACGCCCCTTCTGATTTCAATTTTTTTTAGGCCCACTTACATGTCTGATGTTTGTATTTGGGCACATACTGGTCGGGCTCAGGACCCCACCTGTTGGGACTCCTCTTTATGTCTTTTTATGGCTTTTGTAAATGCCGTTTTTCTTTACGGAAATCTGAAAATAGATATCTAGACCACTCCCACTTGCTAAGTAAAAACTAAGCCCTGCTATGAACTCATGTGAAAACAACCAACTCGTGTTCCGTGCACTCATAATAATATGTGCTTATGCAGTTCCAAGTGCTGTAAAACTTTTACCAAAGTGAGACTGAAACTTAGCTGGATACCGAGTACAGTTCCTGCCGGCTTTAAGCACGGTCATCAGGAGAAAGCTTAAGCGTGCTTAATGCCGAAGCGTGCTTGAGTGCGAAGTAGATATAATCCAGAGATTTTCATGTAGAAAATTTCCTGTGCTATTTCCCTAAGTTGTAAGTAGGCCTATAGCGGTCCCGTAAAAGTGTGCGCATGTTATTTTTGCCCGCCATGGTAGTTTTTGTTGGCTTGTTTGTTTTTGTTTTGTGGTTGAATAGGAAATAAAAACTTAATTTAGACGGCCAGTCACGATACAGCACACTGGGCCTACACACTGCCTGTGCGTACCACTGCCCACGGTGCCACATTCATACCACCACCTTCATCCCACCTCGCGCGTGATACACAATCAGGATTAATGGATAGCGATGATCAAAGGTGAAATTGCAGCCAGCCTCCCTTTCTCGTCTCCCCGACTCTTTGTTTCTTTTTTGTCGGTGTGTAGCTTTGCCCTAGGCTAGATCCTATGTCCATGCGCACGGCTGTGTGCATCTCTCTGCCTTCCTCTTCGCGTGTGTGAATGTGTGTCTCCATCACTTGTGTTCTTTGTGTTTCTCTTAACACACTCACTGCTGCGGTGTAGACTGTGTTAGAACTTCGACATAGGTCATTTATTATAATGAAAGTATTGACTGTCTTGTAAATGAAGCGTGCCTGAAGCCGAAGTTACCGTGCTTAAAGGTGTGTAATTTATATAGCAAAAATTTGGTAAGAGCCGTTTAGCGTGCTTGAGTCCGAAACGTGCTTAAAGCGGGCGTGCTTAACGCCGGCACGGACTGTACATGTACAATAAAAAATTGAAGGGGGCGTTGAGTTGTTGATACATTCTTTTTCTGTTTGACTGTCCCCATGGTTTTATGCCAAAAAAATTCTGAAATTATGCAAACTGAGCCCAAAAATGTGAAATTATGCGATTCTGTTAATTTTAACAAAGAATGATAAAGGAAAATAATCAGAAATTATGAAAAAGAAGATTAAATTTTGCAAAATTATGCGGGGTGCATAAAACCACGGGGACAGATTTGAATCAGTTCCTCTGTAGTTAAATTATGTGATGTTTCAAACAGTGATGAATCGTCAAAGGATCATTTGGTGAGGCACTGAACTTGAAAGTAGGCCAACCTGGTTAATACACAATTCAAAACCAGAGTTTATTATATTTTGTGAATTCATTTGAGGTATCTCACTATGTTCCTCTGGAAATGCATGTTACAGTGGAATCCTGTTATTATAATGAGAGTGAGGGGACCAGTGCCAAATGTCCGTTATATAACAAGATTCTTGTTATAAGGGATCCAGTAATAAATTCAAGGGAAATACTAAAGTAGGCCTAATCTATGAGTCTGGTTTTCGGTTTATTTCTTTTTGTAGTCTCCCCAGATGATGATTTGGTTCAACATGACCTTTAAATCTTACTTGATCGAAACTCGAATCTGGTTTCTTTCTCTAGCACTAGCGATGTTGACAGCTCGGTGTTGGCGATCAGAAAGAAAGTTCTCTAAGCTAACTCACCCGCTGTGTTGTCCCCCCACCCCACCACTCCCTGTGGTGCGTTCTGTCGGCTTGCTTACAATCTGAACATACCACACCCCGCCCACGTCACACATTCGCTCTATCCATCACAGTACAGCATTATGGGTTTTAGAAAAGTGTCTTTATAACAGACTTCTCGTTATTTCAGGACTCGTTATAAGTGGATTCCACTGTACTAGAAGATCCCACCTATTTCAAAATGGTGAAATTGATATGAAGATGGTGCATTCCTGTGTCTATAAAGCCAAAGCTTGTATAGTTAAGTTTTAGTTTTAGTAGAGGTTTTATGGCGCTCGAAACCGCATAAGGTCATATGAGTGCCAGAAGATTAGAGGTGTTACAAGAGAGTAACAAACATAAAAAAGAAGAAGGGGAGATAAGGACGATAGATGTTTGATAGGAAAGAAGAAGAAAACCACACCAGAGCACCCGCCAACCACCCACTTGTATAGTTTCAGAGAGAGTTTTATGGTGCGTACAACACATATAGGTCTTATAAGTGCCGAAGATTGAGAGGGTACAAAGAAAAGGAGGAGAGATAAAGAAGATAAATGTTTGAATAAGTTTAGTTATATTATGTGTAGTGTATCCTTTACTTTTTCTTCGTTATAAAAAAATGTTGAACTTGAACAATTTACGATTTGACCGACTATGTGTTCAATAACCATATACATGTGATCCTGTACAGTCTATCTGGCACATGCATAGCGAATTCGGCAGAACACAAATCTTTTTGTTATGTATGAATTTTGCTATGTACTGATCTAATAAAATACAAAGAAGACATATATGTATACAAAAATTTGGGACCTGAAAATTGGGGGAGAAGGGTACTTACCTGTCCCCGTCGTTTTATGCAAGAAAAATTATGAAATTATGCAAACTGAGCCCAAAAATGTGAAATTATGCGATTCTGGTTATTTTTAACAAAGAATGATATAGGAAAATAATCAGAAATTATGCAAAAAATGAATAAATTTTGCTAAATTATGCGGGGTGCGTAAAACCACGCGGACAGACTTAATAATAATGTTCAATGGATGTGAAAAGAGTTGTTTAAAAACTGAATATTAATGTTTGATGACCATGTCAAGTTCACTTGAAAAATAAAGTGTAGGCACATATATAGCCTTGAGACGCGTGTTATTAAAATGTTACAATCTTTGCCAAATATTCTTTTCTCACTTAATATTGTTTATGCCACACCATTCAGTGTTCAACTGATTCTATTGAAGTTGTTTAGTCTACTATTGCACAGTGTGTTATGTAACATTATGTTGAATTTTAAAAAAAATGTTTCTTCTAGTAGTTCAAGCCTTATACTTATATATATTTCATGAATTGCTTGTTTGTTGATACCTTTTTATACCTTTGTCCATTAAATCAAAGCCAAGTTGAAATGTCTTGTGTGTCAAACTGTCTTCCGTTTTGAAAAGAAGCGCATGTTGACATAATGATGGTCTAATGGTGCTGAAAAGATATACATGAGGAGAAATACTGAGTGTCTTAATGTCCTCTCTTGTTTGAACTTGATGTATCAGAACAGTTTTTATGTAATTTGGTAAAACTACCCAAAAAAATAGTATGACTATTATATTAATCTGTCCCTGTCGCATTATGCGATTGTGCAGCTACATTGTTTTTTTTCATAATTCTGTTACATTTGCATAATTTTGGGTTCCCTGTGTTTTTATTCATTTTTTCACAAAATAATTATATTTTTACTGTCGAAAGAGCGAAAGATTTTTTCTACAAAAACACAAAGTGCACAAAGTCCATGATTATCCATTTCCGGTAACTGGCTTAGGCTTGTTGATTATGTTCACCCATTGTCATTTGGGGATCGGGTCGCGGCGGTTTGCTAGCCAGGTTGAGGGCGCAAAGGGGCTATCGTGGCACAAGCCGATCGCGCCCGACTTGCCACCTCAAAAACAAACACGTTTACCTTCAGGTGACGAGTGGGGCGACCGCCCCCAACCCGATGCGATCCGTAGTGGGCACCCAGTCATGATCTACAAGTGGAGGTTGATACATTTTTGGCCCTTTTTCGGTAGTTCCCACCCCTCAATTATTATTCGCCGGTTTTGGCCCCAAGAGTAGGGGGGGGGGGCGGGGTGTCATGCCCCCCTGAATTTTACCATAATTTGATGTTTTGCATTTGGTAGGTTTGATATCTCTCGCTAGCCGCGCTTCAAACATAATTATTATTCTAGATCTAAACTCGCCCAAAAAAGTCAAGGAACAGCTTGTGTTTTCACCTGTCAAATTCAAACTTCAACATCTCACAAACCCGTTATGATCGGTCAACCAACTTGGCGCACGCACTGACGACTAAACACAGTTTGCCTGTACGGCAAATTTGCCGGCACCAGCTTCATAGCGACGGCGCAGGGCATTCTGAAACACAGCCGAAAAGCATGAAAAATGGGCTAAATTTCTCTGACTCAGCAACATTGGCATAGGGACTGTTAGCTAAAACTAAGCTTGGCATGTGCTAAACAGATGTCTTAGCTGTGAATATTGCTCACTTACAACCCTTTATAAGCCGGCGTTTTTCCTGCCATGTTTCAACACTCGCTGCCTGACGTCGAAAGAGGACGAGCCCTTACCTGGCTCCAAGATGGCTCCACGTTCCCAGTTGTTGCACATCGACTTGGGGTGTCTCCATCAGTTATATAATAGAGGCTGCAAGAACGATGACAAGCGACCGGAAGGGTCCTGGACCGGCCTCGACCAGGACCGCCCCGTTTGACCAACAACAGCGTCGACCGGTTCATCGTCAAACAGGCCGTGACGTCACGAACCACCTCAGCAAACTGCATCAGGGACCAACTACGGGTGACAGACAATGCCCACGAGAGTGAGGAGACGGTAAGGAACCGTATGCGTAGAGCCAGGTTAGCATCTTGTGTTCCCTGCCAGGCGCCCAAGGCACACGCCGCCCAACAAAGCAGCTCCCCCGGCGTGGCCTGCTCGCCAATAACAGTCGACACATTGTCAGTGGGACCAGGTAGTCTTCTCGGACGAATCCAGATTCAACCTGTTGCACCCAGACAGGCGAGCCCACTTCTGGAGGCGCCGAGGAGAGCTGTCCCATCCTGAGTGCATCCAGCAGGTGGCGCTCTACTTTGCAGGGTCCGTTCTGGTGTAGGGAGGCTTCTCAGCTCACTACAGGACCCTGTGTATCATATACAGGGTAATTTGACCTCGGCAAGGTACAGGGAGAAAATCCTGCGTCCCCTTGCTGTTCCTCTCCTGAAGCAGATTGGACCCCAGGCTGTAGGCCTACTGCAGGATGACAACGCCACGCCATATCGCGCATGCATCGTGGGGGACTTCCTGCTGCAGCGAGCTGTCTCCTGCATGGACTGACCAGCTTCTAGTCCGGATTTGAAGCCAACAGAGAACATTTGGGATCACATTGACGGGTGGGTAAGGGACAACCACCCTCCTGCACAAAACCTTCAACTACTCTTGGGCTACCTCGTCCAGGAGTGCAGAACCTACCCCAACAAGTTCTCCGAAGGCATGTCCTGTCCATGCTTCGACGCTGTGCAGAGTGTTTGATCAAACGGAGTGGCTACATCCACTATTGACAATCATCATCATCAATGCCTTTCACCCCTGGCAGGGTATAGGCCACATACAAGCTCCGTCCATTTATTTCTGTCCTGAGCCATCCTTCCAACCTCGTTCCAAGTGAGCTTCATTTCTCTCATGTCCCTTTCCACGCATCTCCTCCATGTTTCCCGTGGCCTACCCCACTATTGACAATGTTCATGAAGAACTTTGGCTGTTCAGACTTTTGAAATCCGACCAGTGTGACTTAAACTCATTTTACATAAACTTCTCGTTGTTGAAATCTGAAATTGTTCACACTTAACCTAGAGAGTCGAAAGCATCTTTTGTGAAAAAATGAATAAATTCGATTAATATTTAAACTGTTCTTCAGTAATCTTTCTTTGAATTTTTGTTCCTTGACTTTTTTGTGCGAGTTTAGATCTAGGCCCAAATAAGGGGGGTGGAAACTTCTGAAAAAGCGCCAAAAATTTTTTAAATTACAAGACGGCGACCAAGACGTCAACGACAATTTATCAAAACAAAACACACGTTTCTGTGTCCATTTTCATGCATTGTCTCTTTTTTTTTTGGGGGGGGGGGGGGGGGGGGGAGGGGAGGAATTAGCATATATTATATCTGTCTGCCCCAGTCAATATTAGTCGTAAGACGCACTTTCTATTATCAGCTATGAGGCTCGAAAGGCAAAAAAGTGACTTTCCATGAATTTTTTGTTGTTGTTGGATATATTGAAAGTTTGATGTCTTCTGCTTCGTATAAGATAAAAATAAACAACTTTCATCACCTATAAATATTTTATTTTGGAGGTATGTCGATGGTTTGTTGTGAGGGGTGACGAGATAAAGGAATTTGGATCTTGCAAGTGTGTAGCTGTGAGATTATTTTTAGAACCATTACCTCATGGCCACCTTTGCTTCAATGTTCTTCTTTTGCAACTATTTTTAGATTTTGACCCCTTTTCGAGCATGAATGGTCTGAAATGTAGACAACTCTGATTGGTAAAACGGAGTATAAATGGTAACTTCTAGCTCACTTCACGCTTGTTTACATAAAACAGCTGACTGTGTGGGCATGCTTTTCTAGCTGTTATCGTCTGTTGATCTTTCAGTTTTACACTTGGGTTGACTTTAAACATTAGTTTTCATTGTGTTTTAGTGCTTTTAAAAGATTAATTAACCTTCCTCTAGATCTCTCAAAGCGGACTCCTTACCAAGAGGCCAGCGAGGCGGTCTATGTGCATGTGTGTTTGTATGTGAGTGCATGTGTGTGTTTGTGTGTGTGTGTGCTATCGTGTGTTTATGGTGCTATTGCAAACGTATAATTAGGTAGCGCAAACACGGAACGTAAGCCGACTCACGGCCTTCTGAGCGCATGGTTTCGGTAAAATGGGGGTAATTCAGATCTCTGTTTCTTTGCTCTTTTGCTATAAAACACCAAATGTTGAACACTTTGAAAAAGTTCAGATTTCCTTCTTTACAACAGTGTAAGTTGTTTGTATATTATAATCCGAGTATGAGCTGGAGAATCGCGTGGAAAGGGAAGCCCCTTACTCCTTACGGTCGGAATGCGAAGTGGGCCGGTTCAAAATTGACACCCATGCATTCGAATGCTTTGAAGAAAGATTGATGATTAAATAGTCTTTTCATTGGCGGAGAACTATATACAGCTTTGAGCGTGGTTTCCTGTGGTTATAGTTTTTGGCCTTTGGCATTTGGATAGAAAACCAATAGAATGAACCGTTCTTGTTCTATTAGAATAAAGTCATCGGCTTGGAATTATTTGGCATGAATCCTTCCGCGAAACTACCGGGAGCACTCAGTACACTACAGTATTGAGCCGACTCGCTCGCCGCGAGGGCTGGTGCGACGCCCGCGGAAACAACTCTCAGTGTTTTAATGGAAATAACGACAGATCATTGTGTTTGAGGCAATATAATACTGATTTGTAATGATCTCACAGTCATGACAAAAATTAGGCTTCATTTCTTTGTTATAATGATTGTACTCTGTTAATGTAGAGATATTTGGTGCACTTTTATTATCTGTCAAACATGGGGTAGCAGCCAGTTACGGACTTCAGCAATATTTGATTATTGTTAAATTGGAACAGCTGCCATTCTCTTAAACATTGACCGAGAGGTAAAAGTATGGTACCAAAAATCTCAGGAGACATAGGCCTTGCATATGAAACAGATGACTTTGACTTACAGCTACTGAAAAATTTTTGTATCTGGTACCTAGTATAAAGGCAAAGGTAATATTTTGTCGCATTTGAAGTGAATTCCATTCTTGTGAAAATTCTGTCTTTTTCATAAGTTTTTTCTCTGTAAATGAATAGTTTTCTACTTCTGTATGTTATTGTTACCTTGTAGTGGCATAGCCAAGATAACTGCTAAATTTCAAGTCTCTATCTCAATTTTAAGACCCCCATTGCTATGGAAACATGTTGCTCAACTTGGGAGACCATTTTCTCCTTTTCGCATTTCCTCACCTCGCACAATTAAAAGTTCTGTATTTTCGTCTAATATTGTCATATTTACTTCATTCTTGTTTTAAATTGTAGGGAAAAATTGATAGCTTTTGAAAATCATGTTAACTCAGTTTTGAAATTTCCTTCAAATGACTGATATTGACCGGCAGGGACACATTATATATTGTTTATCAGCACATCACCTCAACACATTATAATATTATAATACTGTGCCTTTATTTGGTGTGTTGGTCTGGTCCAGATGTAATTTTTTATTTATTTTTTTTTACAGCTGAAAGTTACAGAGATATTTTTAGGTTGTTGTTTCTGACTGATGTGTAGGCCTACTGTTTTCTTTCCAAAAATACACAAAAAATTACTGATACTGATAAAGGCTAATATCATTATGTTCTGTTTTCAATTTTTCTGTTCGTAAGACATGAAAATTCTTGTTGAAAAAGTGCAAAACATGTCGTGAATGGCGTTACGGTAACTTGCATAATTTTGCTTTTGTCTTGCATAATTCTGCAGGGACAGGTTAATGGGAAAAATTCCAATAAGTCATCCAAGTCACAATATTTATACCTGGCAAGATGATACTTAGCATAGTTTTGAAAAAGTGTGTATTTCTCCTACTTGGTCTAAAATATAACTACACAATTAAATACAGTATCAGGTATCATTGCATAGAAAAGGCTCCAACATAAAAGTTTGGAAAGTTTGGAATTTCTCCCCTGTTAACAATTGTGGTTCAGTACAGTGTGTTGGTAATTCTTATCACACCATCCAAGGTCACATGGGATGATTAGAGGGAAAGTGACAGTGGTACAGAAGATATGAGGACAGATACATCCCATTCTGTTGATCAAGTCATTTGACTATGCATCCCTGCACAGAAAAAGAAAAAGACTGGCCTTGCTATTGATTAATGAACAGCAAAAAAATAATTTTGGGACAGTAGAAAAGTATTAATATTGGCTACAAATAACAATGATGATTGGTGTAAATCTTACTAAAATACAAATTCGAATCAGATGGTGCTGTCTTAATGAATTTTGAGTTACTCATTCTGGCTTTATTCTTAATATAATTAACACATTGAGTTTGCTGTGGTGAGCGTTGAATTAGCATGATGAAATGTACATATCACCAGGCATAGATGGAGACCAAAGAATGTTCAGTTTCAATGGAAAATATACCTTTATTCTCTTGGTAATACCTCTGTTTGCATCTCCAGATTAAAGAAGTGAATGAAAAACAAGCGCCCTTCACACGAAAGAAATAGTTTGCAGGCTTACAAAGACATGAAATGAGAGCAGGAGCACATGTAATATCTGAGGAACAAACCAAGGTGAAAAAAAAGGTGATAATTTCAATAACCAACATAAAAGGTTCCAAGAGTAGAGAATCAAGCTATGCAATCCACATAACTTGTGCAAAAGTGCAATATGATTTTCAAAGAAGATTTACAAGTCTGTTGAGAACACTGAATACAACAGATTCAATATTCTAAGCATAACAATTGGATTTATTTTCATTTTCACATTATGGAATGCTGCATGCTTATTATTCTTCATATGAGGGGAAACAACACATTGAGCCTTTAAGCCTGTGAAGTTGGCGCATAAAGAGCATAATCATGGTATTTTTATAATACATTAAGTCTAGCTGAAGACATTAAGAAAACTTAATTGTAATTATTCAATTTTTATTGAAACCATTAACAAAAACAAATTTTTATTGAAACAATTAACAAAAAGGAGTCACCTCAAAGGACAATATTTGTGTTTACTGCCTGTGTCAGTCAGTGGTGAAAACTCATATCCACATCAGAACAAAGGATTCGGGTTTACCACTTCCACAGACAGTAGATTCAATTAACCCCTTCACTGCTGAAAAACGTCCACCAACATTTGTACTAACAAGATAAAACGTTAATTCAAGTAATATTTAAACACAGATAATTGTTTCAGAATAAGCAAAATCACAAACTGTAACTATACCCCAAAAAAACATCTTTTTGTCAACCGGATGAAACAATATAAGTGGAGAATACAAGCCAGAACATACGTCTACTCAGCAGTGAAGAGGTTAATATTCAGCCCATGATGACACAAGAACAAAGGAACACAAAGGGCTATAAGTCTGAGTAGTATGCCGTACTACGGATACTAATAAGCCACACCAGCTACTAGATACATTCTATACTACCCCAGCACATACAATACACAAACATTTTTCTCTGGGCAGTATTTACAAGCTATAACATGCACCATGACTTGTCCAGCCAGACTGTCGTATTGTTATCTGCTGTCCTTAGACTTTGCTGTTTTATCAATCATCATTTGGAGCAAAAAAGCATGCAAATAAAAAATAAAGAAGGGTTTTTCTTTGCAAAGGCAAGGCCATGGTAAGCCGGACATTAACAGAGCTTTCAGCCTGGACATGGTCTCGATGTAGACTCCCATCAATCAATAACCTACATCATTGGACGATAAACAGACAATTTAGGACATCTTCCAACGACTTATAATTCCTTTCAGTAACATTACTCCTATTCCAAGTTACATTTGGTATGACTTTAACTAGGACATCACCCTGTCAGTGAAGATTGCCATTAAGTAAAACATTATGAAGTTTCCTGTGCACTATTTTGTACTGTTATACTTACAACTGCCAAAAACTCAGCTCTGATTATGTAATAATTTGAAGTGTACCTTATGTGTAATAAAATAAATACAACTAATTCCCATTTCCAGCCCTACAGGAAAAAGAAATGGCACATTCATTATTTAAGTGTTATGACACACATTTCCTCAGATGGAAGACGTACCTCACTTAATCAAGTTCTGGATATCATACAAAATAAAGCTCCCGAAAGTCCTCATATAATAATATCCCAACAAAAGAAGGCGGCCCTTGTCAACAGAATTCTACTTGGGAGCCGTAATACTTCAACTCAATGTTGTTTTCCTCACAATACTACGAGCAACAATCCACAAGTCACGGGCTCCGCCTCAGTCTTAGGACAGGCCAAGGATCTCCTCTGTGTCCGGGTCTATGTCGATGTCGTAGAAGCACGGGCGAGTGGGAAGGCCTGGCATGGTGCTCATCTGGGACAGAAAAGAAAAGAAAACAAAATTAAATGACTAGATCAGCCTTTTTATGTAGTCAGTTTTGTGAAAATTTCAAATGCGTCTGATATGCTTTTGAAAGCTCTTGCCTTCATGATCATAAAACAGTTTAAATTGTGTTGATATCTTTATTAGTTAAAAAGTTATGGCTATTTTTCAATTTTCATGCCTAAAATCCGGCCAATTTCAGGTCATTTTTAACACCGAGTTTTTGTGACACCAAAATGCAACTTTACAACACAATAAGAGACTATTACTCTTCAGAAAATGCATATTTTTAAAAATGTTGTACAAGTTTGTTGGGAATTTTACACAGAATGCACACAACTAAAAAACACCTCTTTACAAAGTCACAGAAATATTTTTTGGGAACTTAAAGAGTTTCAGGGTGATAAAAAATAACCTGCAAGGATAACCCGAAATTGACTAAATGTGCAAAATATCTTTGCTGCTAATGGTCATATTTAGACAAATCAAACATCATTCTCTTTGTTTTTTTTCACTGTTCATAATCATTAAAGAGTTAAGCCAACTAAGTAATAGTTTCCAAATTGTAAAGTAATTTTCTAGATTTCAAAACTTGTTTTTAGTTTTTTTCTAATCGTAAAACGGATTCCATTAAAAAAAACAAAAAACTCTTAATGACCGCCATAAGTCAGCTCCCTATCCTTCTTTTTCAAAGTATTGTAACATACATTTGTATGAAGCTATATTTTATGCTTTCAAGAGTCATGAAAAATGCTCTTCGGAGGCCTAGGTCAGTAGACCCACTGGAACATTTAATAAACTGCGGAAAGATGACCAGAAAATGACAAAATCACCTCATGATCTTCACACAAGTTGCACTTACAATTTTTTGGACAAATTATATATTAAATGGCACAATTTGATCAAGTTAAAAGTAAAAATATCCAGAAAATAATAACAAAATTATTAGGTACTGAAAGTGAAAGACTGAGCAGAGGCTTATAATAGATAGGTAACAGAAACTAAATTTTCAAAGTAGCTGTATGCCAAATTTATCTGTTCCAGTTGAAAGGCCTATACCCACTGAGCATTTTGATACCATTCTTTAACCTCTCAGTCAATTTTTAAGAAAATGGTAGTTTAAAAAAAAATTTGATCAAATTTGTTAAAGTCAGTCACTGGCTGCAACCCTATGTTTGACTGATAATAAAAGAGTACCAAGTGTACTAAACATCTCCACATTAACAGAGTACAATCACTATAACAAATATATGGAGCAAAATTTTTTTCAAGACAGTGAGATCATTACAAATCAGTATTTTATCACCTCAAACATGATGATCTGTCGTTATTTCGACAAAAACACCGAGCGTTGACCTGGCTGGCGCTGCACCCGCCCCCGCGGCGAGCAAGTCGTCACTATACTCTAGTGTACCCCGCATGCGGCGTCACATGCTTTCCGAGTTTCGCGGAAGGATTGATGCAAAATAATTCCAAGCTAATTACTTTATTTTAAAAGAAAATAAACTGATCTTTTAATTGGTACCTTTTTTGAGCCGATATTTTACATATTTCGTGTAAAAAATGATCTTTGAAAATTTTGACGATATATTTAAAGGCTATTTAAAAGCCAAAGGCCAAAAATATACCACGGGAAAGCCTGTTTAAAGCTCTACAATTCTCAGCCAATGAAAAGACGGTATTTAATCATCCCTCGTTCCGCGACGCATTTGAATGTACACGTGTCAATTTTTGAACCGGCCGACAACGCATTCCGACCGCGAGGGGCTTCGCTTTCCTCGGCGATTCTCCAGCTCCTAATAATCGGATATATATAAACAACTTACACCATTGTAACGAGGAAAAGCTGAACTTTTACAAGGTGTACGGCATTTGGTGTTTTATACATAGCTGTGCCTAGTTTCACATTGTTTATTGTTGTGGACTGTCGTACGAGCATCGGGACGATGGCGTGCCGAGTTATCTTTAAAAAAGGCGGAGATTTGAGAAAAATTGACGCAGAATGCAAAAATAAATGGAGCTGGATGAAGAAAGAGGCAGACAATGTGCTTTCTAAATTTCATTTGAGAATTGAACAAGCCGAGTGCTGCACTGTGCGTTTGGTGCGCGAAGTAAGATAAGGCAATTGCATTTTCTTTCTCGCGTTTAATTCCGGCCGCGCCTAGATTTTCTAGATCTAGATGTCTAGATATAGACGAAACTCTATGCATCCCCGACAGTATATTCAACACATTGCGCTGGAGTTATAAATACGTAAAACTACGGCAATTTCATCCTTTGTAGGTAGATATCTAGATCTAGATCTAGTAACATACTGGCTTTCGGCCTTCCGTACGGACTTTGATGGCCATTGAGTAAAGGGACTCGTTGAGTAAAACATTCATAGAGTTCAGAGTGGTCGCTCGCTTCGAAGTCCTCCCCCGGAATTAAACGCAAAAAAGTAAACAATTAACAAGAAAGGCAATTTTGTACTACAGTGGCAAAGGTGTTGCCTCCTTAATCCGATACTGCTCAACATTGTTGCTCAGTCTAAAGTGAAAGAAATCTTTTTATGAGACACTAGATTGCAAACACTGGATTTTTAGTCAGCAAACTGGGTCAAATGCTTTTTAGTCAACTTAGTGTCTTTGATTTTTTGTTTTTTTTGTTTGTTTGTTGCAAATGCATTTTAATTCAGTTGCCTGTAGTTAACATATGACACTTTTCCCTACCAAAAACACAGATGTTCCTATATATTGGATCTGGATTTCACTGGTTTTACTCCGGCTTTCAGAGGGAGCGCGTGCGCCTTCGCGTGAACTTCCTCCTTTTTTGAAATTCCTGAGTGGCAGCTATGTTTATAGCGAAAAAGCAAAGAAACAGCCATCGGAATTACCCCGATTTCACCGATACCACGCGGTCGGAAGGCCACGAGTGCCTGTGAGGCGGTGTTTACGTTACTTACTTATAAACTCTGTTCTTGACTTCTAACTAGACTTGTAAGTTTGAGCAAAACTGATTTGTGAAAAAAGTTGTCTTATAGAAGTAAAAGTGATTGTTATGATGAGATTTATTATTATTAAGTCAGGTAAATATAGCTAGATGCTGAATCTAACATCAATTAAAATTGTGCAATTCAAGTTTTATTTCAATTCCAAAGCCCAAAGGCATAAAAAGATCGAGCAGATGCATGCTTTCTGACTGCTGCCTACTACTGCTAATTCTAGACAGGGAATCTAGATTTAGCTATCATCTGCACTATTCAAGAGCCAAATATGGTAAAATAAGAACAAAACTGAATTCTTTTATCAGTCAGTTCATAATTTCATTGGCACACGTATTATTATAATCAGGAGAAAGAAGTAAAGCGCGAATAAATGCTATGCCGGCACAACATGTAAACGCAGTGTGCAGGTGTACGGCCGATTCGGCAGTTCGGCTTTTTGTATGCACTTTTACGGGAAGCTCCATAGCCTTGTGATCAGTTCAACCTAAACAACTCGGGTGAAAAAAAAAAATAGAATGGATAATCTATAACTTCTGAAAGATTAATAAATATACAGCTAGTAGTTTTCATTTTATCGCGTTGTAAAAATTGCCTTGTTTTCAGAAGCAAATATTTCCAGTTCTACCTTATCGTTTTTCTCACGATGACAGCCCTTTAGAAGGTCTTTCTTTTCCATTTACAAAGATGTATCGGATGTGGTAATGCGATTCACAAAGCGAAACAAAACTGTGAGCTGTTAAGACCCACCATAACGCAAGGCTTCACGGCCAGTCACAAAAGTCTACGGGCGTATCACAGCCGATTCACCCAGCCGCGAGAGCATTCACTAAATTGCCTATTTATAGCCTGCCCAAATCCAAACTTTAAACTTTTTATCAGCAAGGCAACCTGAAAAGAACTGCACACCTGAAACCTCTCTTTGACTGTAATCCTTCTTTGAGGACTAATTGCTAACGCACCTGAGCTCCCTTGGTTTGTTTACTAGAATTACAAAGCACAGCTGATTAAAACCTGCAAATTCTTTGCCATATCGACAGACCGAAGGGCTAGAACCCAAATGGCTGCTGGATCCGAAAAGTAAAGTAAAGTAAGTTTACTAGAATTACACCATTGCATGCTGAAGTGTGCTTTCTGTGCTCAGAATTCTGAAGGGTAACAGGTAGCATGAGCTCATGTCCATAGGGTAAAAATTGAAGATAAAAAATTATGGTTTTAAGATACTCAATTAGCTGGCATGCTTAGGTGCAGCTGATGAACAAACTTGTCCACTATAGAACTTTTGGGGGAAATCAGACCTCAGTGGAGTCCCTAATTCCTTAAAACAGCTCGGAATATTTTCCTCAGGGTGGCTGTGTAAAATGCATCTCAAACCTCAAATGCAAATCAGAATTTCTCTTTAATAAAAAGTTTTAATCTCTACAAAAGGTTGCAGAGAATACTCCTTTTACGTTTTGTTAGAAATTGACAATGCCATAATATATTATTTTGACATTTTTTGCATAATTTTGAATTTTGAGTACTTCACTGTAAGATTTTCAATCTTTTCCAGACACTTTCAAATAACATCATTTTTTTGCAGTGCTAGTGTGATTGCCATGGCAATCATTGGTTAGCAGGAAGAAATTTCTTCTTGTTATATTCGTAACGCTGAAACTACCCTACCTAGGAGATTGTATTGCTGTTCTTTTCAATATTGACCCTTTCACTGCCAGACCATCTGTGTACCCTTACCAAATAGTTCTAGACAGCGTTAGGCCAGGACAGTGAAGATGTAAATGAGTTTTGTTAGTAAATTGAGCAAAGGCTGATAATACATCCTTAACTGACCGTTCCAACCAGGGGGTAGATGAAGCCTGCCCCGATGCTGGCACGAGCCTCCCTGATAGGCAGAACAAATCCCGTGGGTGCTCCCTTCAGCTCCGGCTTGTGGGACAAGGACAGGTGGGTCTTTGCCATGCAGATGGGCAGTTCACTGAAGCCCTGAGAGAGGCAGAGGGAGACTATGTTGTGCACATCAAATTCACAGGAGAATAGAATGAAGCTAAACTTTCAATGGCTTGTCGTTTTCCTGTTCCCCACATAATTCAATAATGAAGTATACACAACAAAATAACACTGTGCAACACCACATATTATGTCACCCCACCAAAAAAAACCTAACAACAACAAACAAACAACCCCCCCCACCCCAACAAAATAACACTGTGCAACACTACACATTATGTCACCCCCCTTCCCCCCAAAAAAAATAAAAATAAAAAATAAATAAGTAAATAAGGTGCACATGCAAAATTCCCTCATCCCTCAGAAAACCAGATTTTATACATTTGTGACATGACAAGTTGGAATCAGGCGCCTGTCAGTTTTTGGGCACATGGAGTACAAGGCAGTTTTTTTGCAAAATGATCTAGATCTAGAGCTAAAAATGCAACACATGAGTCTATGGACACTCTTGTATAACTGTCTCACCGACTAAAACATGAACAACAACTGTAAGTTATCTAAAACTGTAAGTTATCTAAGAAAAAAAAAAAAAGAACTATCAGTGATGCCCAGGGGCACAATGTACAGTAGTCTCCGCCTAAACGCACACTATACAAAAACACGTTCCACTCAAACGCACGCTTTCGTCATCTGGCGGGTTTTTTACTTTATAATTTAGATATGTACAAACGCACGGTCATTCCCTCTAAACGCACACTTCGATCCGCAAAACACGCCAACAGGTAAAGCTTGACAAGAGGAAATGTTCACTACAACCTGCACAGCTTGCATTATAAGACAAGCCAAGAAACCCGGATATTTGGTGAGACTGCCTTTCACGCCGAACAAAGAGAGTGATAGACAGCGCTTTCACACCCAACTTTCCACAGACACATAGGTCTAGGAATGGTCAGTGAAATGTTGGGGGGGGGAGTTGGGGGCCAGAAATGTTTTTTGATTGGTCACTGGTAATGCATCTTTGAGAGAAGGTTTCTGACTGGTGTTTGGGTGACTGCATGTAATGTATAAATAGACCTGGGCCTTTGATGCACAACACGTGTGAATGCTGTAAAATACTAGACAGGCCTCTACAGGATTAAAGATTGGTCAAGTAAGCCTAACCAGCTGCACTTGAAGAACTCATAACGTACTTGTTCAACGAATCAGAAGAGAAATGTTTCTCTGAATGTAGAGATCTATTATTCTGATGTCGTCCGTGAATTTACGGTCCGGGGAGGTCGCTTGAAAAGCCACGTGGCTGGGCCGTTGTCTCTATGACTATCACCAACAATATCCTTTCAGGCTATCTGTTTCCGACATTTTATAGTGCATAATATCATTACATTGAGTCTGTCTCCCCCCCCCCCCCCCCACATTCAATGCCTTTGCATTCTTAACTCAGGGAATCCTTCACAAAACAGTCACGTGTCATTGCATTATCGGACCAAGTGACCCCCTCTCCCAAATGAAGGTCACTAGAATATTAAGGCAATGAGAAGACAGCGTCCTTTCCCCCCTTTGTAAAGGTTCATGTAAATGCACGCTACGTATAAACACACGCTAAGGAGCCCTCCCGAGCTCCGAGCGTTTAGGCGGAGACTACTGTACCACAACAAATCATATTCCTAAATTGTTACCCATACATACCTGTCTTTCATAGCGTTCAATTTGTGCTCTTGCCAATGGTTCCAACTCAATACCATCTGCTCCATAGATTTCTTTGGCAATTGTTTCAATCTTTGACTCAATAGAATCCTGAGAAAAAAAAGCCACAGATGTGGGCAACAGATATGCATTCAAACTAAGGTAGCAATAGCAAATCAAAATTTACATTTGATAATCTGATTTAATTTTAAAAACTTCATCCAAATTTAAGGAGAAGAAAGGCTACATTGTGAATTCTTAATTACTTGGTTCTGCAGCATCCGGACCAACGTTTAGCCCATAATAGTCCTAGTGCACTTCACACAAAATGAAAGAAATTCCTTCATGTGCCATTTCTTAGAAAATAAAAGTGGGGGGGTTCGTCTTGAGTAATTTAGTAAGTTTTACAGCACTTGCAACACAATTAGGTCATATATCTTTCGAGGATTAGAGGTGTTACAAGAGACTAATAACCACAAAAAGAAAGAGGAGAGATAACGACCATAGATGTTTGATGAGAAGGAACAAACGACATCAGAGCACCTGCCAAACACCAACGAACAGAGGGTGAAAACCCAAATATTTCTGCATTTAAAACAACAGCAAAAAAACAAAATTCTCTCTAACCTTGACATTGTAGAGGAACTTGAAGTTGCTGGTCTGTCCCGCTGCTTTGTCCACAGCCGCTGCCAGGTCCATGGCCCCCTGACCTCCCTTAGCCCAGTGGTTACAGATGACAGCGTCAAATGCTCCATTTTCTCGGGACAGACGCTGCACAAGCTCAAGCTCAGCCTGGGTGTCCGTGCTATGATCACATGAGCAGGGGAGAAAGAGGGGGAGAATAATCAACTTTTGATTGTTTTATTTCACAAGAGAAAATAAGTAAAGTATAATTGGAGAGTCAAAACTTTAAAACCTCATGTGGGAAAAAAGCAATACGAATGCAATAAAAGTGATTCCAATACCCTTGAGGCATATTAAATTGTTGTTTTTTTAGTTTCTGTATGAGCTTAACACCCAACCAGACAATTACTGTGAAGCAGTTCACTTTAACACTGATAAGTATGTAGATGTTTAATGTTCACAACCAAATGCCTTTATTTCCTTGTCCTGCCTGGGAAAAACAGGGCAGGGGTGTACCTCTCAACTCATTGTCAAGGAAAGGAATCAAAAGCAGCCCACCTTTGAAAAACTCTTTTCTCATGATCTAAAAGAGTGTAAAACTTCATTATAAACTTGTGACACAGATAAGATAAATCATTAGAATCATGCCTTATCAAGAAACAATATAATCAGTCTGAGAATGGCAATATCTATACACTGGTAAACACAAATCTGAAATCTGAGTCCTTTGAATTTCCACTTTGAGGTACCTACAGTAAGATTGGCGAGGGATGGGGGAGCAATAAAAATAAGCCTTTGGAAACTTTCGACAGAATAGACTTACGCAAAGCCATTCACAGCCACCACCACTGGTACACCAAACTTGTTTGCATTCTGGATCTGCTTGATGAGGTTACTGCAGCCCTGCTCCACCAAACCCAGGTTCTGTACAATGTAAATTGAAAGAAGGTAAATAAGACTCATTTTCTTTCAGGTCATGACTGTCCAGGCACAGAAACAAAAGAATCCTCTTTCCTTAATATAAGACATTCATCTGAATATTCATATTTTAGGTACGGTACCTTAACTAAAATGACACATTTCACTATGCAGACATGATTATAGACAGTTCTATCAAAATTTCTAGAATTACTGATGTATCCAAGCAGCAATACGAACTTAGACCAGTGTTATCACAATATAACAAGAATAGCGGCAATGATTTTTCATCCTCCAGGCATCAAAGATGAAATGTCTTTTTCTAGCTAGAATTTTTTAAAAGTTCCTCGGTACCTTTGTCACAGGGGACAAAAGTCTGTACCGGTACCTAAGACATCCAAGAGGAGTACTGGGGTACCACTTAGTAATAAGGTCTCCACCCCCATATCCCCCCCCCAATCCCCTAAAATCATGCTTGAGGCAATAAGACATCTGTGCTGACCTCCTCTGTGTACTCCTTGGGCAGTGGGACTCCAGCCACAACGGTGGGCCCGCCTCCATGCATCTTGAGGGCTCGAACTGTTGCCACCAAGACAACGGCATTTGGCACCAGGCCAGAGTAGAAGCACTTGATGTTGAAGAACTTCTCCATGCCAATGTCAGCTCCAAACCCAGCCTCCGTCACTGACAAGTTTGGAAATAAGGCATTAATCTTTAAACATCCAGAAAAGGCATTCAGCCCATTCTAACATGAGCCCATAGACAAAATAAGGTAGTAAAAACTCAGTGGAAAATGTATTAGGTGTAAGTGTAAGGCCTTAAACTGAATTATCACTAAATGATCCAATGGTAGGATTACCAGTAGTCACAAATCTAATAGGCCTACATTGGTAGTCATGACTGAGATAACAAAAAAACACTACTGAGGACATGGAATTAAATAAAAATCATACACTCTAGTTCCCATTTAATAAAATTGCCTAACTGGACATTCTATTCACACTGAAAAATCTTAGAATGTGAATTAAAACGGAATCCTAAAACCTTACCAACACATCCATCTTTTCCGACCAGCTTGAGAGCAATCTTATCTGCCAGAATGGAAGAGTTTCCATGAGCAATGTTGGCAAAGGGGCCAGCGTGGACAAAGACTGGGGTGCCCTGTCAAAAGAAAAAAGACAAACTGAACAATTTAGGTTGTGTACACTCAAGGAAATTATTTTGATACTCCTAGCCCCGAACAGTCCTCACTGCTGTAGAGGGAATTGTTATGGGGTGTACGTACTGCTGGCTGATTGTTGCAGCTTGTCAACTTTCATAGGTATCTGTGTATACAATTAAAAAAAGTTCTTATATTGATTATGTCTTCTTCAACTTACTTCCCAAAATTCTACAGTCAACTACACCTGTTGAGCTCGCTTGAGTTGATCTTCGGTTACGTTGATCTTTTCTCCGGTCCCAGTATCTTTTCTTCTTAACAGGTCACAATGATTAAGTTAAACTTCGATATGACTTAAGCTATTTTCCCCTCCTCCAACGACATCAACTCATTCATAGACGACTGTATGTTTCTCTACAGCAGTCAGCTGACAGTTACTAAATAATTCATTTACAGAGTCCCTCCTCTTGAGGGAAAAGGTTCTTTACCAGAGACAAAGCAACATTTTTCATTGTATCCAGCACTATCAAAATTTCCTCTGACAATGCATTCTCCATTATACACTGAAGAAGAAAGAATCTGATAAAAATACGCCAAACTTGGCAACCTTTATCCTTCACTGGACCCTCTCCCTAGTGTCACTTGAATTAATCAAAGCAATTGCAATTTTGTTCAAAAGCTTACAAAAAAGCTTCATTGGCGGATGGTAGGTGGAGTTCTGGAGCAGTTAATTTTTTTCCCCTTTTTGTCCCCAGTGACTACTGACTACTGTTCTCAACATCCCCATGACAACAAAACTCAAAATGATCAACACCATATTCATCCCAACACTCACCTATCAATGCCAAACATGGACCACGGACAAGACATAGGAGCAAAGAATTACAACATGTGAAATGCGATGTCTTAAAAAAGTAGTAAACAAGACCAGGCGAGACAAAATTAGAAACTCAATAATCAGAGAAATGGTGGGCACAAATGATGTCATGCATCACATCCAACACCAAAGAATCAAATGGTTCTGACCTCTCATGCAATTACCAACACACCATCAGCACAACGTGCCTACATAAAAAAATTCAAACAAGGCTAGATCTAGAGGGCGACCGAGAAAGACCAAGATAGATGGGAGTCAGGGAAATACTAACAACTCATGGCATCTCCCTGACCCAAGCTCTCCGGCTGGTGGCAGAGAGACGTCTCTTTCTTCCCGCGAGACCCAAAAGGATATAAGCAGCGGATAAGAGTAAAAGTAAAGACTACTGTTCTCTTTGTTCTTAATGAAAAGCAGCCGTTATTATACTGAAAGACCAACAATTTAAAAAAACCAACCCAGTAACACTTACCTCCAGTGTCTGCATGAGATTTGGTCTGATAGTGTCCTTCATGAGGACAGTGAGGGCTCCGCCAACTCCCTGAGGATAGGAGTATAGACAAAAATCTTCATAATAAAGTTATTGTAAGCCCTAATTTAGCCTGAAATAAGTGGGGAATCTATGAACGTTTCAGATAGAACAATATGCAAACTATTGGTGAGTAAAATATAACAACAGATTGCAATTATACTGCTACTTGAATAGTAGGCTCTACGCGTTTTGCAATGTTTATATAATGAAATGGCATTCAGCTTTCTGTACCCTAAAATTATTTACTCAAATTTTTTCAACTTTTTCTATAAAATAACCTCACCACGTTGCAACTAAACTCACAACTTTGGTGTGCAACAGCAAGAGGCAAATCATTACTATCGACTCTCAATCAAGAGAATTGACACTTCGGTTTGAGTGTTTGCTTGAGTAAAGAGGAGCACATCGACACAGTGATGGTCACTTAGTGTTGGGAAACAGTAAAACAGACAGACATACAAGAGAGGGAAAGTAAAGAAGTAGGGCCTACTAGTGGCACCCTCCAACCATTTCAAGTAGAAGCAACAGAACACCAGACAATCAGCTGAGGAAAGAGCTCTAACTGACCAGGTCATCAGCTGTCACTGGCTGTCCAGCCTTACTGCTGGCCACCACCATACGGCCCAGCCTCTCCCTCATGTCGCCCAGGTCGGTGGTCAGGGCCAGAATGGCCATGATCTCACTGGCCACTGTGATGTCAAACTGAGTCTGGACAAATCAAATTTTGGGTTTTTTAAAAGTCATATAAGTGCCAGAGATTACAGGTGATACATTAGAGTAGCATACAAACAAAAGAAGATGTAGAGATAATAATGATAAACGTTTGATAGGAAAGAAAGAAAAATACCACACCAAAGCACCCGCCAACCACCCACTGGACAAAAAAACAGAAAAATAATTCCTCTTTCAATGATAACAAAATAACATTACAGCTTTCACTGACAAAGGTGATAAGGTTCAGAAAAAAAAAATGTTAATGTCCATCTAAAAAAAAACCCCCATTGATTTTTTGGTCCTCCCCACACATAAAAATTGAAGTTCAGGACAACAGATAAAAATTACTTTGTTGGTCTGATAAACGCAGACAAAATACATTAACACGCAAAAAAAGACAGTTGAGCTTCAACCTAACGATGAGGTACCGTAAAACAAGTACATTTTTTTAACACAGAGGAGTATTACAGATTCACTACACATTGAAAAATGAGCAAGGAAATTCTTTTGTTCAATAATTCAGCAATATCAAAGGGAAACACAAGCAGCATCGTCACAATTGCACCTTAAACAGTGGAACTGAGGCCAAAAATGTATTTCAGAAACATTTTAAAAACTGTCTATTTATTATGAATTCACTGATAAATACAATTCTAAGATGAAAAAAAAGCCTTGCAATTTTCTCATTGAAAACAATGAACAAAGGACAAACCCCCTAAATAAGGACCAGGGAAAAAACCACTATTAAATAATATAAAAGGCAATAGTGCATCTTTGTTATTACTTCTCTCGTGTGGCCTTTTTCTTGAGGTCCTTGCCCAACGGTTATCTTACGGAGGAATCTGTCATTGGTGTCCATCACTGGGAAGATAAATAAAGAAGAGTCAGAAAGGCAGATATAAGGTTCCATGTACCAATAACACAGTCTTACATTCAAAAGAATCTACTCTCATTATCTAAAACAAAAGAAAAATAAAACTAGTCAAGTCAATTTGAAGTGCACAATGTGATTGGTAGCTGTATGGGAATAACACCTTTTTCAACACTGTCATATTCTTTGAAAGGAAAATTTAACATCTATCTCTGATAGAAACAAACCACAGAGGCAGGGAGCCTTAAAAACTCCACAAAAAAGACGATTGTTGGATCATGTTCTTTTTCTTATTTAAAAAAAAAAGGAGGTACTTTTACGCACCCACGGACACAATTTAAATCATTTAGGAAGCAGACTTCTGACCTTGCCTGACAGGGTCATCCCTGACTGAGAGGGATAATACAAAATGACCAAGATCCTCCATAAAAAATTCTCCCCGCTCAAACAAGGAGTTCCCGAATGTGTCCAAAAAATTAAGCCATTACGAACTGAGGTGAGTGCAGAAGGGTGAATGCAATCTGTGCTCACATTTTGGGTAAAAAGAGGTTTAAAAAAAAAAAAAAAAAAATATAAAAGGGATGGAATTATCGATTTACCTCTTTGCCACGTAATGGTCTCCTTGTCAATGTCCAGACGGGCAAATTTACCAATCTCCTCTTCTGTAAGGTCATTTGGGTTGGTTTTGGTTATCCCCAGTTTCTGAAAGACACAAATTATGAGCAATTCAGCATAGAGAGAAATGAACAGCATTGACTATTTGCTCATTTGATGCATCTTCTTTGGTATAGTGACATCACTATTTTTTTGTTTGCTTTTAGTTAACTTTCTAGTGTGGTCTCTTCCAGTTGATCAGTTCACCAAGAGTCTGATCTACAGTGCTTCCACCAGCTGAAGCTGAAAAGTAAGGAAAAGGCGAAGCCCCCGAAGAAATTGAAATTCAGTGCTTTTAGAGGGTAGAAAATGGCATTTGGGAGCCTGTTTGAAGATATTGCCTACAGCCCATAATATTTATTTTTTCACCAACATTTTGTCTTGTTTGACTTCATCACCAGCATATCTTTCCAATGCTGGAAATGTTTAAAAGCAGGTTCCCCTTTCATTGCTACTATAATTCAATTAATTTGTAGTCGCACCATTGACAGCAGGCAAACCTGGGAATAATGAAAAGATCTAGATGTACCTTCAAAATACGGTTGCGCAGCGTATACCCACATTTTTTCTAAATTCCATGTCTGAAAGTCGCCTGTCACAACCTCGGAACACCACTTCGAATTATTCTTGATTTTATACGTGGTGCTCACTATGGACGGGATCGGCCGATAGGGCCGATCGCCCGACTCGATCGCCCCAAAAACAAACGTGTTTGTTTTCAGTTTCAAAGCAAACACGGTTGTTCGACCGAGTCGGGCGATCAGCGCAATCGGCCGATCCCATCCGTAGTGGGCACGACCGTATCAGCATATTTCTTTCATCGCAGCCCTTATATTGCGTTCACGTGCCATAGAATCTTCGCATTGATAATTTCTCTAGATCTAGATAAAATTTGCGAAAAAAGTTTCTTTCCAACAGTAATTTTCTGTCTAAGATCAAAATCAGTCTTGATCAAAGCGCAGATTTTCCAGCCACGGCAACAATCCGAAGATAGACAGAAAGAATGAGTGAATGACAGAAAGGAGGAAGTTGGCACAAAAGGTTCGCCAGATTTTGATCCATCAGCGGTAAAAAATGTACTGCCGACAACACACAACGAATGCATGGGACTGGGACATTGCGGTATAATGTCTGATTGCAGGAAATGCGCACTTTGGCAGGTTTCTATAACGTTAACTTGTTGCCGAGAGAATTACCGTAAATATCCGTACCTTATACAAGACAATATGAAGGCGAGTACGGAATTTCGGCAGTCCTGCACTGTCGCAGTTTTTTTTAACGGAGGGAGTAGATAATGATGGAGGGACAAGTACGGAACTGGCAGAAAGTACGGATTTCCTTAAAAATACGGAAGAGTGGAAGCACTGGATCTAGCACAAAATACTCCCAAAACCTCACTTGGGAGTCTTGCAAAACAACTCATTTGTGACTAGAAGGGCATATGCCAACTGTTCACAAACTGACCAGTCGGCATTTGCAACACAATTAGGTCATATAAATGATGAAGATAACAGGTGTTACAAGAGAGTAACATACACAAAAAAGGAGGAGAGACAGAGATTATAGATATTTGATAGGAAAGAAGCAAACCATATCAGAGCACCCACCAACCAACTGCAGCTATTTTCTAAAGCTGCTTAGTAATCCTTTGTACTATTTAATAACTTTCTCCTTGTGGCTTACAACTCAAAGCAACCAACGAGAATGTGGGACATTGTGTAATACAAGGATCAGCACATTACACAAACCTGTAGTCTTCTCATCTGAATCGGGCAGAACTCTCTAACCCCCTTCTTCTCCGGGACCAGACGGTTGAACAAAGCCTGGTCCTTCTGTGTGGCCTCGTGGAACATTCTGGCCTCGATGGCAGCTGCCAGAAGGTTGTTGGCAGCCGTGATGGCGTGAAGGTCACCGGTCAGGTGAAGGTTGAACTCCTCCATGGGGATCACCTGGGAGTAGCCACCACCAGCAGCGCCACCTTAAGGAGATCAAACAATGGGAGGGAAATCTTATCTTCTTAAGCTGTAAAACTTGGTAAACTTTTCCTCTTTGGTTGGATCACAAAATTAGTCCTTAAAACAGTTATCCTTGGATTCTGGAATAAAAACATATCAGGTGGCTAGGAAAAAGTCAAGTGCTTCTCAGAAAAATCGGCAGCTTCTGCAGATTTTCAAAATTTTAAACATTTTTAAATTGTTGTTCATGGCTGACCAACCCATGGAAACGGGGAAAATTAAAAAAAAACAACAACCCAAATCAAAATCACATCAACGTTTTCCACACTTAATTAATGACCCTACCTCTGCAAACCGATTCGAAGGTTTAACCAAAATTTTCTAAGGGTATGAAAGCACTTATACGGTTACATGAAAAGGGATTCCTTGCCTGCTTCTCCCTCATTCATATCTTAAAGAAAGTATTATTTTAGTCATGTGATATACCATTGACCAATAATCGAAGGTTCCCCCTGAAGACGAAACCATCCTTGCAGTGTTTTGAAATGACGTGCATTTCATTACATTGAATCAAATTTAGACAGTGCTACAGTTTGCAACATGCAGCACTGAGCAGAATCGGCCCAGCTAATATAATGTGTCACGGCTGAGTGTACACTATAGTACATGGAGAACATATCCCCACTTCTTTACTATGTCAGGCTGTTTACAACTATTTGAGGCTTACCTTTAATGCCAAACGTGGGCCCCTGAGAAGGTTGCCTGACACAAGCAAACACGTTCTTCTTGAGGTGAGCTCCCAGAGCTTGGGCCAGACCAATGGTGGTTGTGCTCTTCCCTTCACCCAGAGGAGTTGGCGTGATGCTGAGGACATAATGGCACAGTTTGAGTACAGAGAAGCACATCAACACAATAGCAGCCATTTAGCGCAGGAAAAAGTAAGGACTGAGAGAAACAAGATGTCGCCACTGATAAAAACATTTTATATCCTTTCTCAAACAAAAGTTCTATCAAAACAATTTTTGCCACTACTTTTAGCACATAAGATATGTCACTCCCCATAAACATTCTACTGCAAATGTCACTACCGTCGTTTTTGAAGACATTTTCTTTCCAGTATCTCAAATAGAAGAGTGTTGCGTCTTGTAGCCTAATAGCTTTTGTTAAGTTTCTAAAATGACTTCAGTCTATAACATTTGTCTACTACAAAACTGCAGCCATAAGATACTGTGCTTCCTCACATACCAAGAGACCACAACATGTATTGTTGATTCCTCACATACCCAGTAACTATACTGCAGATTCCTCACATACCCAGTAACTACACTGCAGATTCCTCACATACCCAGTAACTACACTGCAGATTCCTCACATATCCCATGACTAATAATAACAATAAATAGCATTTGTATAGCTTGTAAAGTGCTTTTACCAAGGATAAAATGTTGGGCTCATGACGGGATTTGAACCCACTGCCTTACAGTTGCGAGTCTGAGAGTTTAACCACTAAACCACCGAAACCAACGACTGCAACATGTATTGTAGATTCCTCACATACCCAGTGACCACAACGTATTTGCCATTCTCCTGTGCCTTGAGCCGGTCCAGCACCTTGAGGGACACTTTGGCTTTCTTCTTTCCGTACAGGTCCACCTCCTCATTGGTCAGCCTGACCTCCTGGGCCAGCACAGAGATGTCCTTCGGGACTTGGGCTTTGGCAATGTCAATATCACTGGAGAATAGTTACAAACAGGATCAGCTTTGTAATACAGATTACCTCATTTCTGGGTGAAAAACACAGTATTCAAATTGAAAGGAAAAGAGTGACAGACATCAGCAACAGAGGATTCTTTTATTTTTTAAACAAAAGCAAGAATGATAAACAGGGCAGGAAAAGTTATCATGGATCAAATACACACTAAACAAGCTAACACAGTCTCTTTTCAGAAGAACCCGTGAAAAAAACAATTTGTATGACGGCTCACACATAAGTCTAGATAAAAAAAAGCTGACAGTGTCAAATCAACAGTCCGCAAAATCCTGAGGTACTAATGAGCTCTGGTTTACAAAACGGCATTATGACACACAATCCTTTTCACCAGGAACAGACTTGGACAGTAGACAGAAACGCTGTGATTGATTACTAATGTTAACATCTGCCCAATTTACAACATTTTAAAGGCAAGCTGCTCCAACTCTTTGTGGGGAAACAGCAGGCCATCAAAGATACTCTTATATAACTTTTCCTTGCAAGAACTGAAATCAGGTCTTCTGCATGGAATGGCAAAGAGCCTCACTATTACACCTGAGACATCCATGGGAGTAATACGAGAAAAAGACACAGACTAGACCTAAGAAACCACCAAACCATCCAAAGTTCTAAACAAGAGTTGTGGTAAATGCTGAAAATTCACCTTGGCACAGGTTCTTTCAGAGGCAGTGGCAGATACTGGATGTTCCAAGAGGATGCCAGCTGAAATGAACACAATGTACAGTTGATGGTAAAAACAGGAAAGGTGTACATGAAACAAATAAAATAATATTTGCCACTTTTACTAATCTCTGAAAAAAAATTTGATTTTCAATGGCAAGACCAAAACATGCAATAATTCATGTGTGTCACATTATACACAATATTACACCAACACAGACAATCTTATAAACATGGCACTGCTGGTCACCACAAAGCAACATCCTGGTTTTCCAGCATTGGATATCATATTTCATACAAGGGCACACACCCCAGTGACCACCTATCTAAACACAGCGTCACCAACATATGCTTGACGTTACTGTGAAATTTAACTCTCTTTACCCAGCCATTGGAGCCCCTATGTCTGTCTGTATAGGGACAGAGGAAGAAAAGCAAAGTCCCAATGTGAGTCAAGGGTTGGGGGTTGTACAGTCCAGCTGTGAAATGTATGCTTGACTTTTGAAATAATCCAGAATATTGAAATAAAATAAGAAAAAAAAAGCTGCAAATCATTCACTCACTTAGTCTGAACCCTCCCTGCAGATAAAGAAGAACAAATATTTAACAAGAAGTGTCTCGAGGAAGAACTATGTGAATCAAACTGACCGCCATCTCCTCATAGCTTTTCTTGGCCTGGTCCACGGTGTTCTTGAGCAGCATGGCCACGGTCATGGGGCCCACTCCGCCTGGCACTGGTGTGATCCACGAGGCGACCTCTTTGGCAGAGGCATAGTCCACATCACCGACCAACCGGTAGCCACGAGCCCTGGTTGCATCTGAAGGGGAAAAAAAAGTCAAATGAGGAAAGGAAATGATTTTGTTTTAGTAAAAGTTTTACCATACTTGCACCATAATAAGGTCATATAAATGCTGAAGATTTAGAGGAGTTACAAAAGAGTAGCAAACATAAAAGAGAAGGAGGAGAGTTAAGGACGATAGATGTTTGATAGGAAAGAAGGAGCAAGCCACACCTGAACATCCGCCAACTACCCACAGGAAAGGAAAAAAAGGGCTGCTGTTTTTCTGTTTTTAGGATCCCTCACACACCCAGTATGTTGCAGTTTGCACCAAATTTCACATTCCACAGGTTAGGACAATAAAAACACCGACAAGAAGCAAAAAGTGCAGAGTACGCTACAGCGCCCGTATAGCAAACCGAGCCAAAACAGAGACAACATTACCACGACAAGACGGGAGATACAGGAAAGGAAAAAACATTAGAGGGGGCACAGAAGCACATACTTACATCCACAGGGCCTAGGAAATACAACATACCTGGCAATGAGTTGATGCCACAGTCCACCACTACAGCTCCTGGCTTGATCCAGTCTCCTTTCACAAGCTGTGGCTTACCAATACCTACCACCACGATGTCTGCTCTGGAAACCTGAGGAAAAACACATATAACAGTGAAAAAAAAGAGAGTTAAGAGAAATGTATTGTATAGGTTTGATGCTCCTTTCAACATTGAAAAGGTTACTCGAGATACTGGACCTCCACTTCCAACATACAAGTACGTTTCAGGTATGACCAGGTCAAATGGGTGGAAACTATGAAAACTTCCTACAACTCAAATTTGCAGACACTCTAATAAGAATTTGAACCTGTAAGCGTAAACAGGGTGTACACATGATATAATCTGTTGGAAGTCTAGTCTTAAGCCACATAGAGACATTATTCACTGTCAACATCAATTTAAAAAATATTACTCTCTCTATTAAAATTCATTGTTAAATGACATAACAGCACAGGAATTTAATATTTTGATTGCGACAGACACACCATAACCGTACTCTGTAAGGTAAATTCTTTCCTTTCAAATCCACAATATACTGTTGATATCCAATGCCGTTTCTGTGTCCATGAAGTATACTGCCCTATATTTCCTTTCTCTTCTGCGCTTGTGAAATTTTTTAGTGTTAAACAAGTAACAATACTTCTCATTGAATACTTTTGTGTATATTCTTTTGTCTTCATTTTGATACCATGGTATGTGTGTTTTAACTGATATATGATGAGTACAATATCTGGCCTCTTCTAACACCACATTCAACTTATCACAGTTGCAACACACTGATCTGCTAATTCAGCACAAATGTGGAAACTCCTCTTCTAACACCACATTCAACTTATCACAGTTGCAACACACTGATCTGCTAATTCAGCACAAATGTGGAAACTCCTCATGAATGGAAAGACAACTTTTTCCTGTTCAACCTATCCAAAACCAAACCCTGATAAAATACAGTTCTAGGGTTCAATCCAGCCACTGTTGACGAAAAATGTGAACTGGAAAGAGTAAGCAATTCATGACTCACCTCCTCCTTGAGGTCTGCGGTGCGAGAGTGACAGACGGTAACTGTGGCATGGTTCCATGTCAGCAGGTCAGACATGGGAGCTCCGACAATCTTGCTCCTGCCCAAAACCACAGCTCTCTTCCCTTTGACTTCCACTCCTGTGTCACAGCAAATACAGATTACACTCACATCATAGAAAGCACACATAAAAAAAGTCAATCGGATAGCAAGCTGAGAAATTAACTTACTCCAGAGTGAAATCTAATCTGAACCCAGCTCAGGTTCAAATCTCGAACTTAAGTATCCAAGATACAGGCATAGAGATTGAACTAAGCTTAACATATGGAGGTATTTTGTCCATAGGCTTGATGAGTCTTTTGTTTATTGTTCATAATTTCAGCTTAGCAGCAATTCTACTCTGCATTTGGTGGTGGAGTGCACTACCACGTTGCCACGACAAAAAGGTATCTGTGAAACAAAAAAGACAAAGAAAGAAGCAGTAAGCCACCCCAGATCCCCCATCAATCAGCCCTACTAGAAAGCAGAGGACCGCACGGGGTGGGGTATTGCTGTTTTTCTTTTAGTAAACGTTAAACGGCACTTGCAACACAATTAGGTCATATAAGTGCTGAATATTAGACGTGTTATAAGAGAGTAACAAATACAAAGGAGGACAGACAGGACGCTAGGCGTTTCATTGGAAAGAACAAACAAACCACACCAGAGCACCCGCCAACCATCCATGTCATCGCTGCCGCAGGACAAAAACTAAGTCCTATGTTCTTTTCCCTTACCCTGTACAGCAGGGTTAAATAAAACGACTCACTTTTCTTGCAACAACGATGGCCCACAAAAGAAAGACACACACTAACCAGATCTCTTGATGAGCTCCATACAGCCTCGGGGTGTGCAGGGTAGGATACAGCTGTCCAAGTCTCCACGCGACAGACGCCCTGCATTGTCCTGGTGCAAACTGAACAAAAGATGAACAAAAAAATCCGACTCACAGTCTGCAAACCGACATAATAAGGAAAACGTTACAGAGGAAAAATAAGATAAACATTACAGAGGAAAAATAAGAAAACCGTTACAGAGAGGAAAAAAGAATATGTTTCTGTTGTGCTTTGGAGGGTTGGGTTGTTTGTTTTTTTGCGATAGCACAATGTGCCTTTACTGTACAGGCTTAAGAAGAGGAAGCAAAAGAACAGACTATAAGAGTGCAGGCCTACATAATAAAAGCATTTTGCAAATCATAAGTGGCAATCATCAATGCCTTTCACCCCTGGCAGGGTATAGGCCACATACAAGCTCTTTCCATTTCTCTCTATCCTGGGCCATCCTTCCTAGCTCGTTCCAAGAGAGCTTCATCTCTCTCATGTCCCTTTCCACACATCTCCTCCATGTTTCCCGTGGCCTACCCCTGCCTCGTGCTCCCTGTGGGTTCCATTGCAGTAAAGCTCCCCCTCTTTCATTCGCTTCTGTCCAGACTGGTTCAAGTGGGTTTCGCTGATTCCCAGTAAAAGTAGGTGGTATCGGTGCATTTCTTGGAGGACCTGTGCAGTTTTTCCAGCCTCAAAAAGGGTCCTAACGTTCCACGATCCAATCCGGAGAGACTTGGACTTGGATGATGGTGGAGGCTTCTGTCCAGCAGCTTCCTTTCGGCTTTCACTACTTTGCATCATAAACTCTCCATTCGGAGAAAATCCACGACCAGCCAAGCAGAGATAATGGTTTTTGCTTGTATGTGTTTCTGTAACAAGTACTTTTTACAAGAGAGGTTGTTAGCCTTGTGACTCAACCCACGACCTGGAGGCTCTGTTTCGAGAGTCACTACCTGGTTTCGCCATTTAGTCGCCTCCTACGACACGATACCACCACGTCAGTCCTATTCTTTTCAAGGCCGAGATTGCACGGCTGATAAGTGGCAATATTGTACCTTAATTCAGCAAAACTCACAATCTTTCCATATAAGTGATAGAACTTCAGTCTAAGTATGAGAAAAGAGAAGCACATCTCCACAATAACAGTAATTTAAATATTTAAAAGAGGGCGAAAGCAAGATCTTCAGATAAAATATTCGAGAAAAAAAAAGTGAGAGCAACCAGTGGTGCACTCCAACCATCCAAAGAGAATTGAGGTTCAAAAGCAAAGAATTTGATTATTTAGAGTAAAAGATATCCACTACATTATACAACATTCAAACCTTCAACCATACAGCTGCAAGTCTGGCAGCCTAATCACAAGACTACTAATACTACAATTCACTTTTCTTACCCATCAACATCTTTGCTTGGCAGAATGGCATTGGTTACTAAGTGGGCATCTATCTCATTGTCACTTTCCATGGGAAGCTAGAATAGGAATGACAAAGAAAAAGCATGCATAAGAAGCAACAAAGGCACATATCATGAAATATGTTAAGCCATATCACAAATAAATATGAAGTCCTGTTAAACGGGCAGCTCAACACAAGAGGCTCCAGAGAGGCATTCGTAAAAAAAATTTGTTCTGAAAGAATGTTGAACAATATCATAAGAACCCCTCAAAGATGAGTACACTAACCATTGTGGTTAGTTCTTCGATAAAATTCAAAGGCCCAACCTTACAAATAGGCAATGCACTACAGTGGCCAGCTGTGGGATTTTACTCTCTGAAAGAGTATTGAGTTATAAATATTGTCATGCATTTCATAGCAAGTAGAGACACAAATCTATCTATGGTGAACAACATTCTACTTTGGGATCTGTAAACTCGACTTTGTTTTGGGTATGACAACCCACACAAGCAGGCCTCCACCAGCACAGCTTTTCAGATGTACTTAAATCATAGCTAAAGCATAACAAAACAAAACTGGAGAAATGGCCAGTTTATTAGACTTCAGTAGTTAAACAGTGGGAGAGTACTCACCTGCACAATGATGCCATGGACTTTGATGTCATTGTTCAACCTTTCAACAGTAGCCAAAACCTGTCAAAAGAGAGATCAGCAAAAATATGGGGGCAATGGAAAATCACATCACAATGCCAAAGGCCTTTAAAGAGTATGTCAAAAGGCAATGGAGCATTGTTTAAGATAAAGGGAAACTCATTCATGCAGTAATGGTTAAGAAATACTGGGAAAAAATAAATACTTAACACTAAAAGAAAAAATCACATAGAGTATTCACGTCAACAAAGGAAAGTATTCAGCGCCTAGAGTTTCTTGAACCTTAACGGAACCAACAATTGGGTATAGAAACTTTCATTGGATTACTGGAAAGCCTAAGATAATAAAAAGTAATATGGTTTAATAATGGATTACACGGAGGCAGGGTAAATAGTTTTTTTCCCCCGGTAAATTCCCAGCCTTAATCTAAGGGTGAGTGGGAATTAAAACCTTGTTCTATTGAAAAAGGATTTTTTAAAAGACGCTCTATCAATGCATAATTTTTTATGAATCACAAGCCAAAATTGAAACTATTCAGGTTGGACATCAAATATTGGAAAACAGCTAATTTTAACACGGCAGAAAAAAGAGCAATTGTTTTTATAAGAATCAAGAGCACTGTAGTTTGAAGAACTAGTAGCTAAGTACCTCTGAGAACTAACAAGGAATAAAGAAGAAAAAGGAAATCTTAGGGGCCAGAGACCTACTTAGAAGTTAAACATGCAGCCTTCCCATTGCTTAACTAATGTTTTAATACTTCTGTGACCAGACAATCTCCAGCTAGCACATCAGTCAGGACCATGACGGCAAATTAATATGTTTTCTGAGAAAAAGTATCTTACAATTAGAATTGGAATATGTTTAATTCTATAGCACATGTGCCTAGTAAACACACAAATGATGTTTTCACTTCTGTTTCGCAAATGTTTTGAGAATGTGGCTTCAATACATAAAGTCAGATAGTTCTGTTAAAAAGAACCCTTCAAAGCAAAAATTCTCGCAGCTGTTCCTGAAAGGAATGCTGCCTGGAGATGAGAATACTTGTTCGCAGCCACTCAGGTACAAATTATTCTTCATTCTGGGCCTTCTACACACCTTGTAAAACAAAAGCCTATAACCAGTATACCCAATAGGCTCCATGTCAGTGAATACAGTTAGTTATGCCATACCTCATACTGAGTGGATGATCTAGGGAGCTTGATGTGCTCTGCTGCCACGCCCACTTCAACAGCAGATTTGAGTTTCTGATTGATGTAGACATTGGAGTCTGATCTGTCCCCAACCTGTGAACAAATTTGACAAAAGCAAAAATTACATCACATAAATGATATCACAACATCTGCAAGACACTGAGACTTCATGACTCTCAATGTAGAACAAAAATGTTGAGCATACATCAATAAATTCAGGATTACTGAAAGCAATCAAGAACACAATAGACCCTATGCATACCTTATGATGCAATTCAAATAGCTTACAAGATAAACCAGTGTATCAACCACCAAGACAATTTCTCTCACAAAATGTATGCATGCTAATAAATCTATTTTAAAACAAATAGAAAAACTTGTTTAAAAAAACAGTCAAAAAAACAAAAAACATTAAAGTTTTCATACTAATCAAGTGAGACCAATCAAGTGATCTGTAACACTTGAAACATACATTCAAATAAAGGGGAAGCCCAGCAACACAACAAAGTAGGTACACAGCAAAGGGTCCCTGTCAAAATTTACCTGGACAATAGCAAGGCCTGGCTTAAAGTCTGGAAACTTAGACTGGAACTCACTGACCTCTGTAGCCAGCTGTTTCTTGATGTCACTGAAATTTAAAAAACATGGCAACAGTTGATTTTCCCAGTGGCATCTCTCTTTCTTAGAATTTTATAACAGTGTTTGCAAGCATGTGTGTCTGTGTGTGTTTGTTATGTGTGTGTGTGTGTGTTATGTGTGTGCATGTGTGTGAGTGTGTGTGTGTGAGAGAGAGAAAGTGAGTGTGTCTGTATGTGTTTGTTATGTGTGAGTGTGTTTTGTGCGTGTGTTATATGTGTGTGTTATGTGTGCGTGTGAGTGTGTGTTTGTGTATATATGTGTGTGTTATGTGTGTGTGTGCATGTGTGTTTGTGTATATATGTGTGTGTTATGTGTGCGTGTGTGTGTGTTTGTGTATATATGTGTGTGCTTTTGTGTGTGCATGTGTGTTTATGTGTGAGCGTGTGTGTGTCTATGTGTGTGTTTAAGCATATGCATTTGTGTGGGAAAAAATGGTGTGGAGGTGGGGGTGCAAAAGTGAACACCCAGTACCACTCAGTGAAAGTTCACCAACTCCTGTAGCACCAGAGACAACAATTTTTTGAGTGAAAGAATGGGGAAAACCTAAAAAACACACAGAAACTTCAAAATCAAATGACCCTGATTTTCATTCAAAGTGACTAGTAAAAATACCCTATATGATCATACAAATTAGACAAAGACTTTCTCGGAGACTAGAGCAGCTTATAAGCAAAGGAGTTTTATTACGCTCAACGATCTAGCAATTGAGTTTTTTGGTCACCGATGTAAGGATGAGCACATTTAGAAATCATGAAGAGGATTTTCAGCAAATCATTTACAATGTACGGATGCATGTAATGATGAGAGCTGCCTCATAAATATGGTACTGAGGGCAATAAATAGGCGGCGTTCTCACCAAGACATTGCACCCATGGAAAAGCAATATCGGGGCAAAGGGAATCCCAATATGTTAGCAGATCTCCTGGTCAGTTACAAGAGAAGCAACAGGACTTGAATACAAGAGACAAACCAAGAAACAATTCAAAGAGTCAAATAAGAATGGAATACGAGCCATTTTTTATCCTTATTAATCTCTTGTAAAGCAGCACTTAAAAAAAAAAGTTGTAGACCAGTGCTATCTATCCATTCATACAATGTTTAAATTTCTACACTACCCTTTTTGTACAGCGACATTTTTTAAACAGTTTCACCAAAGGATAACACAATGCACGTGCCTTCCAGCCAACACATAAAAAAAATCATGACAAGCATAAGTCAAATGTTCATGCAGACACGCAAAAGAGGTCACTGACCATAGCCTTCTGCAGTACCGTTTATGTGGCAGGGACAGGTTTTTTTTCTTCAGCCTTAGTAAGAGTTTTACTGCACTTGCAAAACAAATAGGAATAGGTCAAATAATAGGCCTGTAAGTGCTGAAGATTAGAGATGTTACTAAAGAAATAACATCCTAAGAAAAGAAGTGGGAGAGATAAAGACGATAGCTGTTTCATAAGATAGAAAGAGCAAACTTCACCAGAGCCCCCCCACCCACCCCCAAAAGGGACCTGACACATGCTTTATAAGCAGTCAAACCTGCACAATTTCAACCAAAGTCCCGTCGTCAATGCACTTTACAACAGTTCTGGATGATATAAACATTGTAATTTAAAAAAACAGCGGTAGGCCTACTGAACTAGAACCTTTAAGAAGTTACTTTATGACCCCAAGCTCCTAAGCAAGACAAACACCTTGTAAACTAAGCGAAAATCTTATCAGGCACTCAAGCAACTTTCTCAGTCCAAGTCGTGAAATCTGAAATTCAAACTAGCAGTGACAGATAACAGCAGCAGCCACCCCATGTTCAAGGTCAGCCTGGCTCCAAGTACAAACTAGGTCAAAGGAATACCACAGAGGTAATTCTAGATCAGTGTAAATAGGGAGAGAGAGGGAGGGGGAGAGGAGGGGGGGGGAGAGGAGAGGGGGGGAGAGGGAGAGAGAGAGGGGGAGAGAGAGAGAGAGAGAGAGAGAGAGAGAGAGAGAGAGAGAGAGAGAGAGAGAGAGAGAGAGAGAGAGAGAGAGAGAGAGTATAAGGTCATTAATATGGTACATGAGTCTGGTGACAGGACAATCTATACTCTCTTGTCTGGGCTCAGAGACATCAAATGGAAGGCACTTCCACTTCTATATGACTTGCATTTTACAGTTGAACCAGCATTACCCAATAAAGCTGTTTGCTCTCGCCACATTCTATCCCATAGATCTTAACATGCCATAGTAGTTAATTCAAAACACTGAGACTGCTGACTACCTGAAATCCTTGTTGATTATGATTTCTTGCTTATATATTTTTTTAAGGAACTTCTCCAAATTTAAATGTATGTACTAACTCTCAAATATTCTGTACATGTATTTGTAAAGTATGAAAATTAAAAACATTTAAAAAATAACAATTCCACGGGCCTTCTTTGATAATTTTGAAACTAACAGAAAGAAATTAACACAGACAGATGATGTTATAAATCTTAGTTCTTGGAGTCCTATTATATTAAATACTGATGACTAAGCCTCTTATAATTGACTGGAAATGTTTCACTGACACAATTTAAATCAACGGAGATGGGTCGCCTTGACAGTGACGGTCTCTGCCATGCCGAGCTGAGTGTGACTCAGCATCCCAGCAGGCAAATGAAGCTACTTGATTAATAATTTCTTATAGCAACAACAGCTAAAAGCCTTGCCGAAACACCACAGACACCTGTACGCTAATAATTTCTTATGTTATCGATGGACTCAAAATATTGGCAGCATTACAAAAAGTCCTCTTTCTGTCTCTCATGATCGCAACTATTCTTTGCATTAGCAAACCAATCGCCCTCCTTCAGCCATATGAAGGCATAAAAGCTAATCTTAGTCTGAGGTATGGCCAAACAATGACTGTCCTGTGTTCATGATGAAAAGACAAGAAAAACTATCTCTGGTGACCAACAACAACAATATGCAGTCCATCATCCCTGGTGGATGAACCACAACCGGACCACAAGTATTTATTTCCTTTCAGCAATATACACCAAAGGATAAAAAATCCAAACACATTCTAGCATAGCATGGTTGAACATCAGCAAACAAAATTGATTTAGTTCATCTGACCAGAACTGTCAGTTAAAACTTAAGTCTACATAAGATATATATACATGATAGAATGAAAGAGGCAAGTACACAGCCTTGCTTACAGTGTAAGTTACGCTCTGATGATAATGGGAACTAGTTGAAGGGCCATATAGAGAATACTGTCCTCCTAATGTTGGCATACATAAGAGATAAGATAAGATAAGATAAATCTTTACTATCCAGATCCTGGCAGATTGGTTTGGTGTTTCACCACGTACACACACATACACATATACACACATACCCACACACAAATAGTTAACCCTTGGTGCTGTTACGTTCAAGGACCTCTCACAATTCGTTTTCATATTTGTAGTGGCAGTACACTCCTTTAAACAGCTTCTCCGCACAAAAAGTTCTGCCTTCAAAGTATGGTTTGTAGCCATTGTGAAAAAAATCCCAAAACTGTTTAGCATTTGTATCAGATAACAGCGCATTCTTTATCAATGCATGAAATGTGTGGTTCAAAGTAGAACCTGTCTTTCACGAGAGTACAGGAAACAGGGATTGCAAAAAATCAATATCTCTTGCTGCTTAATAAACATGAGTTGGGTCTGCCGATACCAACTGTGTTGAGAACACACCAAAAAATGCAAATATTTTTTTTCATGCGAACATACAACACCAAGAAAAAAAAAGACCAAGCCAGACCTGGAAGGCGTACTTATGTTTGAGTACTTTTGGGGGGTGGGGTATTAAGGAGAAACTTGGCATGTCAGGACCTGCTGATCTGACACACTTAAGGCTTACCATGTTCAAAAAAAGTAAATAACAAAATAATGAATTACACTTTATTGGCTCTTGTGAGGGGAAATTTGGCTTATAACAGCAAACATACAAAATTAATATTTGCATATTTGAAAAAACACAAATATAATATACACAAAGGATTTTCAAAATATACAATATCAATATTACGTAAAAAGTTCTAGCAAGAGAGTATTATGGCACTTGCAACAGAATAATGTCATATAACTAAATATAAGTGCCGAAGATTTGGGGTGTTACAAAAAAGTAACAGACACAAAAAAGAATAAGGGGATATAAGGACAACAAATGTTTGATAGGGAAGAAGTAGGAAACCACACAAGAGCACCCGCCAACCACCCACACCTGTATTAAACCAATACAGACAATCACTTGAAATGACAAGGAATGTATCAAATTTAACTTAACCATGCGTCAAGACAAGAGTCAATGTTAGACTTATGAAGAAAACTTTACATGCGCAGTGCCATTACTTGTTTTGTTTTAATAAAGTTGTATCAAGCATTTGTAATTACAATTGGACAAATTATTACTAGAAAGGCATACAGCATTCTCAACTGTTGCACCTTGGTTTAAACTTTTTACATAAATTCATTTGACATTTTCTTGCCCACGAAAGATTTCATAATATCAAGAACTGTGCAACTGGTCTCTTTCCAAGAGATACTGACACACAGAATCAAAAAATTTCACCAACTTTCCGTTTCAAATTCATTTATTTATAACATGAACATTTTTTTGGTAACTACTCTTTTTTCCTTGTAACAAATGGGGATAATGTGAATTCAAAAAAAAAAAAAATGACAGCATTTCAGAACAACATACAGTAGTCTCTGTTTAAGATCCCCGTTCCGGAGCCAGGAAAGTACAGGATCTTAGCCGGCACACAAAGGGAAGAATCTATGGTGACCCATGTTAAGGCCCACAAATGGTGAAATTATGGTCTCCCTGTTCTCTAAAATGAACTGACGGGACCCCTAAGTGGGTTTATGATAGGGTGAGCAAAGAGAGGTCAACCTTGATGACCCATCACAGTGGCAGGAGGCATGCCATTTTCACTTATTATCCTATCGTGGGTCTCAAGATCTACGCTTATCAGTTGCCCCTCCCCTTTATCTGTCCAAAATTTATAGCTTTCCATCTCCAACTGTGTTTCCCCGCATTTGTGGTTTCACACTTATACGTTGTGACCACACCAATTAAGATTCAGTCTGTCTCGCAAATTCGAGATTAGAGACAACTGCTGCAATGGTCAGGGAAGTGTTCACGGTTCGATGTGATCCTGCCCGGAGTGAACTTGTAGGTTTTACCTGACCCACCCAGCATGTAATGTAAGATTAGATGGAGAGCTCAGATAGAGTGCGATGTTTAGGGAAACCAAAGCCAAACACGTCGGCGAGTTACACCTTGGTGTGATCTCAACTGGGGCAAGTATAATATTGTATCGATTCATAGAGATTTACAACCGACATGTGATCACATTCACGAGAGTGGCAGATCTATGATGCAACGGGTAGTTCAACAATAGCAAATTTTCACTCTTGGTTGATCTTCTGTGCACGCCCGGGATTTTGTTTTGTAAATTAAGATCTGAAATGCGGGATCCTAGCTCAAAATAGACTTTCAAAGTGAATCAGAGCAAGATCTTAAGGGGAGACGTACACTCCCGGAAAAATTTTCGAAACGAATGACTTTTATTCAATTTCAAATAATTGTGCAAGAAGTTCATAGGTAAATAGGATGTACTAGGGGTGATTTGTTGAATTTTTCTAAAAAATGGGTCTCTGTGGCGGCCATCTTGGATTTTCAAACCAGTTTCTTAGTGCAGAAGAATTTCATAGTCAATATTGAATTATCAGCCTGAAATTTGGCACACAAGTACAAACCTATATGAACTGGGGATCTATGAAAGGATTTTGACCTATCTTTAAAACTAAAAAAGTGAGCCCAAAGTCAATGGACCCCCTAGAGTCAGTTGACGAAATTTCGGGGTACATATTACAAAAAAATTGAATATTTCCTTAAGTTACCAATATTTCCCAATTCCCTTTCACAGATCCCCAGAATCGATCTTAAAGCACCTGTACACCAAATTTGAAGCTTCTAGCTTCTGTAGTTTTTGAAAACTCCTTGCACCCAGGAGGTCACATATGTCAAAAAGTAGATTTTGATAAAAACAGAAAAAACAGGGATTTTTTAAAGGATTTTTAAAGCAATTTGCACTTTTCAAACGCCCTTTCAGGTCATTTAGGTAGTTTTTTCAACAGTTTCTTCATTTTGACTCAATAGAACAGATGTCAAAGGATGTTTTTCCGCAAAAAACGAAAGTTGGGTAGTTGGAAAAATTGTATCGATATTGCCTTGGATCGCCGACCCGGGTCTTCCCTTAAGGGTGATTTTTGTGTAGTAAAAATTATGCTTTCTTAATTAAAACAGAGGGATCTCCAGCGAACCAGGATCGTAAGAGGTGGGATCTTAGGCAGAAACGACTGTACTGCCGTCATTTTCAAAAGTACAGTTTAGCCTACTCAGTTTTTACCACTGTAAATTAGTAAGAGGAGAATTTAATAAACTACTTGTTGACAAGAAAACAGCATTTGCTTTAAAGATATTAATTAAGGAAGTTATAATCTAAAAAATAGTATTTCTAAAAATATTGACTTGAGATGTTGGCAAAGAGTTTGCTTTCTAGGTAACAACATTCAGGTTTTTGGCTCTCTTGTAAAATTGCAAAAACTGCATTTACTGTAGGTCAACTTTTAAAGACGACTGCAGCATATATATCTAAACATAATAACAACAACCTCTTCCTCTACCTAACCATTAAAATTATTTTTTTTCGTAAGTGTTTTACGGTGCTCACAACTGCAATGGCCACAGCCACATGAGCATGCCGGATACATTAAACATATATATTCTGTTTGGTAGGAAATTTTGAATTTTGTCTGGGTGGCTGCCGAAGCTACTCTTATCAGTTTTTGACCATCAAGAGATCTTTAATGTTGCGCAACTTGCACACAGGCTCCAAGAATTTTCACCCTTATCTGAGAAGGCTAAGTATTAGATACACACCTCTACCATATTACAAGACCAGGGGTGTGGCTGAAAGACAGCAGTAAGAAGGAGCCAAGGAGTAGCAGTAGAAAGGCTGCAGAAAGAGTCAGGATCCCAGGGGAGTTGGCAATTAATGGAGGTGTAAGGGGTGAGGACAGAAAGTGGAGACCAAAAAGCAGACGACAGATCATTGTGTTAGAAAACAGGAAAGGAAGTGAAAGGAGACAATAGAGAAAAACATTTTTCGGCGCTCTCCAGATTCGAACCCGGGACCTATTTAATGAGAGGCGAACACCATACCTTTCGTACGATGGCCCCCTACCCTACCATCAGAGGAGGGCATTGAATGTATTTAAAATTTGCTGAATGAAGAGTTGTCACAAGAAACTCAACAACTTTTCATTGATGGTGCCATTTCTGTTGTAACTTGGCAAACTTTCCTGATTTTTAAAACATCTGAATTCAACTAACGAGGAATCAAACATTGTACATGATCTTTATAAGTATTCCATTCAAGTTAAAAACAAGAAGTTTGAACATTGGACAACAACCACTGTTGCCGCTACAACAAAAACTTAACTTTTTAATATGTAAAAATTAAGACAGACAGAAAAACTCTCATGGCATTGTTGTTAGGAAAAGTTACTGTTTTATTTACACAGTGTCATTAGCCTATTTCCTACAGCCTAATTTTATAATGTAGATCTAGGCTAAAAAAAACCCAAACAAATGTATGGGCGGGGGGTATGGGTCTAGATGGGAAGTATGCACTTGTACAGGACAGGTTGTAATCTTACAACTTACAGGTGGTTGTCAAGTTATTATTGGAGCCTGTGTGACTGTCATTCTGTGTGAGACCTTACTCTTACGTCTTTTTCACAAAAATTAGAAAAAAGTTTCCTGGAGGGAAGGGAAACCATTTTAAAACCGAGATTCATTTTATCTGCACAAGTTACAAGGACAGCAACAAACTAAATAGCTATTCTATATAGATCTATATATCTAGATTCTGAATGCATAGCCTAGCAGAAGCAGTTAATGTATAGCTGACTGATAAAGTGAAACTCGGCCAAGGGACGACCTGGGACACGCAAACCGACTGCCAACAGTAAATCTTCTTGTGAACATTATAACAATAATAATAACTAAAACCTAACTAACTTTAAGTGTAACAAACTCACCCGGAGACCTCTTTTCCGCTGAGTACTTGCGCCATCTCGTCTTCTTGAGAAAAAAAATGACCAATATGGCGTTGATAAGACTGGAAGCGAAAAAACGATTTGCGCCGACTATAGATCTATCTTACAGTCGGTGGACACTGGATACCTGGTGCAGGTCCTGTTTTATAGGTGTGACTGCAAAGTGCAAAGATAGCGGGAGACGCCGACTTCTTGTGCTAGCCTACTATCAACACTCAACACATTGCGTGAAAATTCAAGGGAAACCATCCACGAAAACCTCCTATCTCCGGTGATGACGTTTCGGCGTTTTACTCTTCACTTGTGGAATCCCATGAATTACTCACAACGATGAATTCTAAGTACAAAGAATTATTACGTTTTTTGTGTCTAGTTCTTGTTCTTTTTAACAGACGCGATATTTTTACCTGATGACCACGTCTGGACTGAGATCGTTTTGTTTTAGATTATATTATGTACACGTAGACCTATAATTATTAGGATACTGGGTTTTTTTTTTCTTTATAAAATTATTGGCCTATATCAACATCAACTTGCACCAGCATACACTGACAACCCAATAAAACCTGCTCGACGCACATTTATTTTCCTCCCCCCAGGCGTCCAGATAAATAAGCCGTACAGGGCGTATTTTCTCAGGATTCCTATCTTCTTTTTCATCAAGAACCAGATCTGAAACAGATTCACTGCTCGGGACTCGAGATATTCTCTAAGAACATTACAAAAACAATTGAAAACGACACCCTAGTTTCTGTTTAGTGGTTGGCGTGTTATCTACAACAATAATCCAAACCAACGCACTGGACTTAGAAAGAATGGGTATGCTTACAAATCAAACAATTTTCGGAGAAAAGAGTGTGATGCAAATGCATTCGTCACCAACAATAACGTGCCCAGTCATGATAAATGAAGATAAAATGATCGCCGATATTGGGGTAGACTATACAACACCTATTAAGCTTTATATTATCGCTGATAAAAATGAATATTATACGGACTTTGGTGTTTTACTGGACTATAACAGATTTTTGCGAAACAGCGTTTTTCTTCGAATTTGAATTTAGCCTGATAATGGCATTGGTACGATGTGTCTATAATCATAATTGTTATCATCATTACAGGCCACTTCATCCGTGTCCCCAGACCCTACACCCTTTGAATAATAGGGCCTGGACACGTATGCACACACACACACACGCGCGCACACACACACACACACACACACACACACACACACACACACACACACAGAGATAGATAGATAGATAGAGAGAGAGAGAGAGATAGAGATAGAGAGAGAGAGAGAGAGAGAGAGAGAGAGAGAGAGGGGGGGGGGGAGGTCTACACTGTATATAATGTATACATACGACATACACATTATTATACCGTAAAAACTCTACTAAACAATATAATAATAATAATAATAATAATAATAATAATAATAATAATAATAATAATAATAATAATAATAATAATAATAATAATAATAATAATAATTATTATTATTATTATTATTATTATTATAATTATAATTATAATTATAATTATAATTATAATAACAATAAATAACATTTGTATAGCGCACATCCCCGCTCGACAGCACTATATTATTATTACCCCCAGCAGACCATAGAACACCCAGCAATATTCTCAGCTTCCCGGGGAGCATACAGTGCAAGTAGCTGATTAAGCGCTCAAACACTAACAGACTGACAAGATATTTCACTGTCTATAGCAGGCCTACCCATTCCCACCTGGATGAAGTGAGAAAAATTGCACGTAAAGTCCTTTTCCCCAAGGACACACGTCGGGCCCCTGAAGGAATTCGAACCCACTACCTTACGGTTGCGAGTCCGGGAGAGCTTATACCACTAAGCCACCGACGCCATAATATACAGGAGTACAGAGAGAGAGAGAGAGAGAGAGAGAGAGAGAGAGAGAGAGAGAGAGAGAGAGAGAGAGAGAGAGAGAGAGAGAGAGAGAGAGAGAGAGAGAGAGAGAGAGAGAGAGAGAGGGAGAGAGACCAGATCATTGCTGCTTGTTGGAAATAATGCAAGCAATATTGTATCATTGATCGAAATAAGGGAACGTCAGCTAAATGTTGGAACTTTGCATGTTTTTCCGTATTAATCGATTCCGTTTGATTATATCTTGATGTCCTATAACGTGTTTTGGCCCACGCTGTTACACATAAACTCATAATAAAAACTTTCGGAGGTTGAACGAAAGAAGTTTCATTAGAAAAGTCTGCGTTTCTGTGCAGGAAGGAAGTGTGAACATGCCTTTCGAGCTTGCTGTCTTTGGAAAAACTTAAAACGCTGTGCTTGTAAACTGACACTTGCTCGACTTTTTCATTTTTAATTTGCAGTGGTCACATGGCAATTCCTTTTCTACAAATTCTCCAACAAAGTTGTTAATTTGTAGGTTTTTTTCCGTTGATGGAACATTCAATTTTGATATAAAATGCCGTCATGGTCAACCTGAATTATAGGCCATAGTGTGGTCGAATTGTCCGCAAATGTTGTCAATTTGACATTTTTGTTGTAAGCCTATTATTTGACAATCGTTTGTATAGTGTATACAAAACTCAACAAAACACATGCTATATAGTGGTACTTTGTAATCGTTATGATGTGCACCAATGAGGATATGTTTCAACTTTATGCACTGAGGCATATTATTTTTTCTTATTTTTTCTTTTTAAAAAAGGTGGGGGGGGGGGGGGGGGGGAGTGCTACTATTATCTAGGTATTTTTAATGCCCCCTCCCCCCTCCCCCCCTATCGATACAATTTAGATTACTCAGGACCAGGTGGGCTTCAACACTGACTGCCAGGGCCCATCCAGGCTCAGAGGCATGTTCGACATCTCAGCAGAAAGACCGAGATACTCAATAAACATTCTCTCCCTTCAGGAATAAAACCAGAGAGTTTACAGTAATACTACTGTAAACCCTCTCTGATAAAACTCGAGTGTCCTGCGTGAGGCTACGAAAGCACCTGGCCGCTACATCACAGACGCTACTGCTGAGACATCGAGTATAATATGACATATTATATATAATAATAAATGCAATTTAAGTTACAGTTTTAACACAACCATTAAAAAATATTTTTCTAACGAGGTACACTGACACCTAATGGGTATTGTATTGTTGGCAAGTATTGTTGTACCAAGCCCGCAAAATAACATAATTTAATATTACAGGAGAGAGGAATGTTTTATTCTTTTAATCAACAACTGTACCAACATGGAATTTGTCTTGTTTTCTTCAACATTAGATTTAGAATTTAAATTTCGATAAAATATTTCTCGAGCAAATGCAACAGATATCACATATATAAAGAAACTGCAATAAAAAAAAGCAAAACAACAACAACAACAACAACAACAACAACAACAACAACAACAACAACAACAACAACAACAAAACACAAAGCAACAACGACAACAAAACAAGCAAACAAACAAACAAATTTCGAGTTAGGGACATTTTAGCATCAGGCCAATGGTATGCTTTATCTGGTAACCACAACCAATACTTTCGGAATTCCATCGTCTGCTCTTTGCAGATGATGGTGTTTATCATTAAAATTGCAATATTCAGTGACAATCTTTTTTGTTAGCGATTTAACGATGATCAATCACACTATGATTAAAAAGCGGATTTTCCCGCACTGAGAAAACCATTTTCTGTGAAAACCCTTTTCTGAGAAAATTACGGGAGGCATTGTGTGACGTAATGCAGAAGAACCTGTCGGTTATTCGCCTTTGGGCCTGTTTGAACTGAGCAACGTCACTATTTGCAACACGAGAAATGTTCTTTTTATCTTTCTTACTTTTTTTTTTCTTTCATTTTTTCTTTTTTCTTTCTTTCTTTCTTTCTTTTTTTCTTTCTCTCTTTCTTTATGGTTAGTGTTTTACGATAGGCCTACTAGCAACTGCGTAGGTAGGAATTAATTTTGAATGTTGCCCAGGTATCGGCCGAAGCCTATTCTTATCGCTTTTATGATCATTAAGGGATCTTTAACGTGCTCAACTTGCACCCAAGACCTCCGAGATTTTTTTCTCCCTTATCCGAAAAAGTTAGGTGGTAGATATTATTTACCCTAAAATCAGGGGTGTGGTTGAAAAACAGCTGTAAGAAGGAGTCAAGGAGTAACAGAAGAAAGGCTGCGAGTAAGAAGCCCAGAGGAGGGGGTAAAGGAATGGAGGGG